GAGAGAGAGCGAGAGAGCGAGGGCGAGGGAGAGAGAGAGCGCGTGAGCGAGCGAGCCAGCGAGCGAGAGAGAGCGAGAGCAAGAGAGAGAGCGAGAGAAAGAGAGAGAGAGCGAGCGACCGCGAGAGAGAGAGAGAGAGAGCGAGCGACCGCGAGAGAGAGAGAGAGCGAGAGAGCGACCGCGAGAGAGAGAGCGAGAGCAATTACATGAGGCCAGATATAAGATAAGCATATTTATCCTGAATATTCTTACTTAGTTTCTTACTCTTTATTCAGTGACATTGTGACATCCTCAAAAATGGCGTATAACTGCTAACAAATAAAAAGCAGTTTGGCTGGTTTTACCGATACTACTGCTTTTAATCTGTATATATGGTGGCCTGCTTATATCTCAGGAATGGGTAGTCTCCCCCTGACTTTATGAGCGTGATATTTGTGTGTTTTTGGTGTCAAAGAGCAGAGGACTAACCCTAACCCTAGAAATATAAAGGTTTGAAGTGCAGAGAGGACAAAGCTGGGTAGAAGGAAGATATGGTCTTGATAAAGCTTTGTTCCACACAGTGAACCTCCTGAGGGCGGAATACAGGCAGAGATTGTGTCTGTGTGTGTCAGTAAGATGACTAGAGGAGTGATCTGACAGCCCCAGGAATGCGACAAGCATACTAAGGCTTTCACAAACGTCAAAGTAGAAGAAGAAAAACAAAGGAATTTCTGGAAGTGAATGTCTTCACTGTCCTCGAGACCGCATGCTGCTACCCAAAGGGCCACTGTGTGTCTGTTTGTCTCTTTAACTTTGGTCTGTCTGATTGCATCATCGTGTATGTGTGTACATGCTTTTGAGTGTGTAATGTTACAGATTGTTGTACTTCCACCGTTTAAGCCGATGCTTGCCTTCTCAAGGACAGAAAGATGAAGTACATTCTCCAGACTCAAGTCTTTTCAGCAAGTTTTTGCATCATTATGAGGCTACTTTACAACCAGGATTTCAGGTGCTCCAAGGATTGAGGAGTGAACTCTGAGGAAATATGAGCGAGGATACAGCAGTGCCTCCTTTTGCGTAAGTCTTTTACTTACCGACATGCCCCCTTGTTGGATATCTGTTAATTGATTGGACGCTGCAGCTGATCGGACTGATTTGATACATCACAACATCACCAAAGTTTCATACCGGAGTGAAGAGAGATAATGGATTAAACTCAAGTGTATCACTGCTAGTTTTATAATTGATTTGTTTTATGATTCACTGTCTAGTTAAAATCTGTGTTCACTATCTGGAAAAACAAAAGGACCACTCACAACTTTCTACATTTATTAAAACAGATTTCCCTTCTCTCTGATTTCTCTCTGTCAGCAAGAAACACTTTTTACATCATTTAATTTCATTTTCATTCAGTCACGAAGCTGATCATTCCTGAGTGTTTCTTCCAAATAGATGACAACATAGTAAACAAGTAAGGAGTCTAACTAAACAGGTCACTACATTGCACTAAAGACACTTTCATCAGGTGCAGTCGGTGCGATGGATCAGCAGGCTTTATTTTCCTTTAAAGCGATCGCACTGACTGCACCTGATGAAAGCAGCTGACCGCTTCATGAGTAAAATCAGCTGATGAAATGTGTGAATAATAACGCTACTGTGCTAAAAAAAAGAAAAAGGTGGAAAAAAGCTTATAAAATGTATGTGGTGTTAAAGGATATCAGAAGATGAAATAAAAAAGAAAGCTTGAAACTGAGTTTAAGTCGGGTTAGATCTTTTCAATTTCCTCTGAAACGTTTAGCCTAATAATTCAAAAGACACTATAATCATATTCTGGGTTATTTAATAGCCCTTTATAATAGGCTACACAATCACAATATCAAATGCAGATAATCAAAAAATATAAATGCATTTTGCCAGTAGAATAAGACACAGTATAACAACATGTTCTCATCTCAGGGCATCAAATAGACCAACCTACACTTTGGGAGCCTGACCTGATGAGAACGAGGTAGTATAATTTCAGAATGCAGGGTGTTCCAATCATCATCATCTTTCTGCAATGACCTGCCTACCTGTATCCCATCCACTAATCAAGAAGTTATATTGCCATGTTTATTTTAAATATAATTCACAACCAATAAAGCATACTTACAGGTTGTGATTGTGAATTTTCAGGCCCAAACAGAGTCAGAGTCGCATCGTCTTTTAGGACTAAACGCTGAACTGTTGCCGGTGTTCTGACGATCTATGCTGCCTTGCCGAAAAATGCTACCATAGCGCAAATCGATAGACTCGACTCTACTCGGACCTGCTCCGTTTTCCATTGCAGATAGTACCCAGAGATAGTACGTAGCTTGTCGTCATAGCGACGCCACACACAACTGAAGCGACGTAATGTTCAATGCGACACACACACCAGTGATCCACACAGCTTTCTGTTTTTTAGATCAGATAAGCGGTATGAAAACCTTCCAGCTGTGTTTTCCTCTGCCGTTGTTGCTGCAGCGGTCTGTGTGACGGCGGGAGCAGAGGGCTCTGTGAGCGGGCGGCTGGCCGGCCTCACACGCTCCTCCCGCGGGTCACAGCAGGCTTCCCCTGCAGCCACTTGCGCAGCTCCTCAACTCCGAAAATATTCAAGCACATTTTTGTTCTGTTTTCACTTCTGGTAAAACTGTCAATATTCGAAATCTACACAGCTGATTTCTCACCTCAAAACTCCTCAGAAGTGGATTTAGTGATGAAATTCTATACGAAAGCTGTAAAATATAAAACTTTCTGTTGCTGGCCTCTGTCTGGTGCAGCTATGATGATGCAATGAATAGCGAATATTCTCTCTGACCAATCAGCAGTCTGTCGTGTTTTCACGTTACATTTTAGTTTCCCTCAGCTCGACGGAGGTGAGGTGATACGAAAAAAAGTACCTAGAAGCAGGTACAGGTCCAGCATTTCTACAATGGACACCCAAACAAAGGCGAGTCGAGCCAAAGGGCCTCGGCTCAGACTAGCTTGGTTTGAGGGCGTGCCTGACCCCGCTAGCCGCTTGGCAAGCTTTATGACGCGTTTTTCATTGTGATGTCACAAGTAAAGGAAGTGAAGGGCTGGACTACAAACCAGCTGTTTTCAGTTCAGAGCAGAGCGTTCTGTGGGAGATGGGAACTCCCTTTGGGCTGGACTTTGGGCTTTTTCACTTTGCAAACCTGTTACATGCATAAAAAAAGAGATATAACTCAATAAAGGAGAGGGAAAAAGCCAAAAAGCAGAATACCACCTCTTTAAAGATATCTCCTATTTGGGATATCAATAATCAAAATTAATTTCAAAATATTACATAATTAAATAATGACTAGGCCTATACATAATTCCAGGTTTTACATATAATTATTTTGACAAGTCATAAGTCAAGTCTAAGATACCTATAATGTCATTGAGACCGGTTAAAACTTAAGTTATCTCAAATGGACAATGTAGATATCTTGAATTGTGGGGAATTTAAAGAAATCCTGAACTAGAAATATGAAGAATTAAACTGTAGATATCTGAAACTGGAGTTACAACTAGTTATAATTCAGCTGCAGATATCTGCAATTCACGGATGTCTACAACAGAACTGTAGATATTTATGAGGAACACATGAATAGTTAAAGTAGTTTGAATTTTAATAGTCAAATTTACAGATATCTTGAATAAGAGCTTTTCTTGCAGCCAGAGAGAGAGGAAAGTAGCTTTTATTTCTGTACTTCACAGAGCAAAGCAGCATACAACATCTCTTATTGTACCTGCAAGTCTCTCTGCAACCTAATAGATTTTCTTGCAACAGCTACTGGTGAGAACCAGGTGACAACCGAAAACAACCAGGAAGAGTAGTTCTTCTTCTACAACTTGCTGCTCACCCACTGGCGCCACCTGGTGGCCAAAAGTGTACAGCGCATTTCAATGCATACTACTACTGCTACTCAGTTAACACCGCAGCACACGTTAACAAGATATTCAAGAAAAGAGCCTCTGTCTACCTATACCAAAATTAAATATAAGATTCCAACTTGAATTTTAAAAACGTGGTAGGGTCCCTTATAGCCTAAAATAAACATGAGCAATATTCTGAAACATGACAATCTCCTGACTAGTGATGTTGCAGATATCAGTAAAGAATATTCAGTCTAACTCAAGGGCGTGACTTTGTGTTGGGGACGAAACACTTAGTCCACGAGACGTGATAATTCACAATATTGGAGTCAGGAGAACAAGACAACAAGATGCTCCAATGAAATATTCATTGATGAAATAGGCTATTCGATAGGGGGTCCCTGCCCCAAATGTCTTTATTTAAATGAAGGGAAACAAAATTCATGTGGCCGGTGACAATTCAGAATATAAAGATATTATCGATTTTAATGCAGTAATCAGCATTTTTTTTTTACCTAAGTTACTTTTTTTTGGACAAGGTAGATCTGTTTCTTCTCCTATTGTGCAAGTAAACCTCTGTTTTTCTATTTTTTTTATTTATCATTTCTTGGTACAAGCTAATTATCAGAAAACCTTTAGGAAATACTTTCAAAAAGTGGTGGGAACATGTCTCCAGCGTCCCCAGCGTAAATGACACCTATGGTCTAACTAATACATTTTAAAACAGCTTGCCATTGGTAATGCTTATGATCATTTACATGTGATCAGTGAACATCGAACTGGACTAGAAATGCAATGCACTAATGTATAGTTTGTCTCCTTCAGTCCGGACCAAATGAACCGAACTACAGGTGTGAAAGCACCCGAAGTTTATGTCAAATGAAGTATCAATAATATTATCAATTATCCACGTTGTTTTCTCGTCTATATAAAATACTTCCGACCGTACCTGACACCACCTAGGTCTGGCCATAACACTCAGTGCGCATCGTGATTTGAATGAACGGACCAATCAGTGTCCGCGCCGGACGGAAGCCGCTGGCTTGCCGTCACTCTTGCCCAATCAGCGCGCGGCACCGTTGTTTGCCTTGCTTTTTGAATTGAGCTCTAACAGGCTGACGCCTTCTCTGGATTACTACGAAGTAGTTAGCCGTCAACAAACGAAAGCAGACACATTTCGACAATTAGGACTATTTCCACGCTTAAAGGGCAACATGCATTGATACCAGTCTTGATATATAGCGAGAGATGTTACAGATTTGTTGAATTCTTCTTCTCAAGTTAGCTAACAGTTAGATAGCTGATTGAATTGAACCGGTTCAGCAACGAGTTTAGCTGCGCCAGCTTGTCTTTCTGTTTTTCTTTCATCTAACGTTACCACCGACAAAGTTGGTAAGTTTGGTTTAACTTATTTTCATTGTGCTGCTGAAAACGCACCGTACTAGCTAGTTAAGCACTTAAAGTTAACAGTTAACGCTCGCTAACGTCTGTTGACGTTTAGCAAAGATAGTTTGGTGCCGTGGTGAAAGCAGCTAACGTTAAGTGAAGTCAGCGTTAACGGGACTAGCGTTAAAAAAAGTGGATAAAGTTGGATACGTTAACGTTTCATCCTGAAAGTTTAGACAGTTGGCCTAATAATTTAATCGTTTTGCCCATTAACTATATTGTACGAAAGAAACGTAACGTTAACGTAATGTTTTGATCTCCATAAACTCATTAAGTTAGTGTGTTATTATTGCTTGTTTGCCGTTTGGACCACAATAACTTCAACGATACAATTTGTGCTCTGTTTTTATGGAACGCGGATTGTAACAGTTAACTTACGTCTAGTTTGACGTAAATTAGGCATAAAAATTCCACATTGGTGTCATGAAATACAGCGTTAGCACGTCGATTTTTTTGAACCACCAAGTTCAGCCTTCCATGCTATGGGTTAGCGTAAACACACCCAGTCCTTTTTGACTTATTGGCTGCGTTTGGCAGTAGAAACGTTAACTTAGGCCTTCTGTGCTCATGTTTAATAGTGTTTAACGTTTGGACTGCAAAATTTACCGTTACCCATCGGTTATGTAACGTTAAGTGTTTGGGCAGTCCATTTGGATCAGTGTCTTTCTAAACACATTTGGTCTTTTAAACAATCAGAACATGAATGGGCAAAAGTTAGATGAGATTTATTAAAGTAAGATGTCAAATATATGTTATATATTATTTCTTAACATCATTTCATACAAGGGATGTTGAGTGGGGATTTGTGTTCTCTCATACAGTGATATCCCTCAGAAACTGAAGTGGAGGCACCCAATTTTAAATTTATGTGTTAACGTGGTATTTTCTGTCGTCTTAAAACATACAAATGTGACACATTAATGTCCACTGTGCCTCGCTTTACCAAAGTTATTACAAATCACAAATATGTTGCTTTCTCTCCCGTTGAATAGTCAGACTTCAGCAGTATTTGTGTTTGAAGTCATGCCAAGTTGTGTCTCTTGCCTTTTAGTCTGACAGTTGTCACCCTTCTCCTTTTCTTCCTTCTCTCTCCTCTCTGCCTTGCTGTGTTCTCCCTCTGTGTCTCTGTCTGTTCATTCCCTGTAACTTTTGATAGTTTGGACAGTTTGGTGCCCTCAAGTTCCTGCCATGGCTGACAGTAGCATGGTGACGTTAGGGACAGCGCGGAGTCTGTTGGTGGATTCTTCTGTCTATGATTCGAGGATAGCCGAAACCACCAGGGACCATGTATTTCTGGGCATGGCATGTGAAGATGGGGAAGGTCAGTCTGCAGGGGTCACCATTTTTTCTTTCTCTCCCTACTGCTTTCTTTAAATATCTCTACATATCCAAAACAAACTGCTGCTGATGTGACCTGCAGCACCATATGTGACCTTCAGTTTCACCAATAGTGTGTTTAAAAAACAAAAAACAACATCAGGATTCCCCCTTATGTGTGCAAACCACAAAGCCTATACTTTAAGATAAAAACAGACTGCAATGTTACAGATTCAAAAATGCTGTGGAGAAACAGCACCTGACCTGGGGGGAAAGTAATTGGCACTGTGAGCTAATCATTGTCTTTTACTGTACAGGTACACTAATGCATAATAGCCTTGGGCTGTAGTTTGTAAAGTTTGCATTTTACTGAGTGGTTATGCTAATATTTATTCTGCCCTCATTGATATTAATAATGTGAACATAATGTTAGAAACACCTCTCAGTATAACGCGATACAATTAAACACAAGCCTCCAAAATAATCATAAAGTATAATCACCACCTTTCTAAAACCGTTGTAGCAGCATTTTAACATCATAACCTGAATGAATGGCTCCAGCATGGTCTGTGTTGTGGTCTCCTTTTGAGAGTGTTTGCGCACTGATTACCACAATTAATGTGTCCATACTGACACGAGTCACACTCTCTGATATCACCTGCAAGGATGGATCTCTTGTGATCAGTCTGTATGGGCTTTAATCACATTGCTTGTTAGGCAGTTTTCTCATATTCAGTAATGATAGGTTGTTGATCACACACAGACAGAATTGCATGCGCTGTGTTGTCAAAATGTGCTCATTCTGTCTGTTACAGTCTATCTTTAACAGAGTGTAGAGACAGTGCCTTGTGATACACACACAACAGCCAACAGTTTAAATGTGTAGTCTGTCTGGTTTACTAACAGCATTAAGGTTGGACAGGTAAATTAATCTGCTTGTAAACAGTTTTTGGCTCTACAAGCTTGGTGACAGCGAATACTTGCAGAACTAGCTGGCTAGCTAACTGCTAACACGCAAGACAGTTAGACACTTAGTGTTTCCCCACAGGATTTTAAGAGACTGTGGTGGGTGGGCCTCGGCTCTGGGGGCACATCTCTGTTATCATTAAATCCTGTGGTTGGTTAGTTTGCTTTCACACCACAAGCGAACCACACCAGAGTCCGTTTGTTTGGTCCGGTTTTGGTGCGCACCCGAGTGCAATTGCTGCATTCAAACTCTGGTGCGATTCAGCCGAACAAAATGAGGCAGGTGTGAAAGCACCCTTAGACCAGTCAACAAACTTACTGTAAAACTTCAATTAATAGCAGAGTCCAAAATAGCCGCCTACATCCTTTACTGGCCGAGGGTCTCATTTATAAACGGTGCGTACGTACAAAACAGAGCTGGAAACGTGCGTACGCCACTTCCCACGCAAAGGTTGTGGTCTATAAAAAACAAACTTGACAGGAGAATGTGAACTCTGAAACATGCGTACACACATAAAGAGGAAAAATGAGAAATGGCGACTCACATGGCAGAGGGATGAAACGGTTTGAAATGAATAGGCCTACTATTGTGTAAAATAAATTGAAATATTACCTCTGAGTAGTATAGGCTGAATAAAAAAACACCCGTTTGATTTTTTTCCTTGAAGTGGGCAAAAAAAAACATACTTTAAGATCATTTTGAGCGCACACAAAGAACCACATTCAGGATCATAAACACAAACGGAGATATATGTTTCTGCAAAAGAACACCTCAAATATGTTGTACAGTTTCAGGAATTAATACTTGCATGCATTGCAATTTATTCTCATAAATAAGGTGAATAGGACGACAAATTACATTTAAATTGATATCGTTTTCAATGCGTCATTCAAGCAAATAAGAGTGCATAGTTTTATGTAATGTTCTTGTCACATGTTCGTTGCCTTATTGAACCAAACTATGTGCGCCAGCGTGTGGATGTGATGCGCTACTTGTAGAAACGTGTTAAAATATAACACTATTTTATTAAAGAAATCTTTCAGTGTGTGTCATGTATAAAGCAAGTTGTATTTTTCTTTTAACTCATTGGCAGCTTCACTAAGTGAGTGGACTGTTTGTGTAGCCTAAATAAATGTTAAATACAAGTGGAATGCATTTGGTTTACTCTCTTTTCAAACGGGGGAATCCAAATTAGTAACTGGGTCATCCCGTCTTGCGTGTGTGTGTGTGTGTGTGTCCCTCCAGCCAGCGACGTCACTACTCAGGAGGGATCCCCCTTCCTGCAGATCAGTTATAAAGGGGTGGAGCTCCGGTGCCCCCTTTCCCCACCAAACAACATGCTTGACCAAAAAGAACGTCAGTGTCACACTGAGTTAAATTTCATTTTGTAGCTTTTCTATGAGAATTTGCCTCCTTTTCTTCCTGCAGTCAGTACGTGTTAATATAAATGAGGGGCGTTTCCCTCACCATTTATGGGCGTTTGAAGAGTCGGACATGGCGCTCCCTCACATGCGCCACATTTCAAGTTGATTGTGATTTATAAAGAGAATTTGCTTACAGATGTGCGTACGCACAAGTCTGAATATTGAATACTGAATAATATTTTTTGACGTACGCCATTTTTGGTTTTGGGCGTACGTACACTTTTAGTGAGGATTCTACGCACAGTTTTATAAATGTGACCCCTGGTGTGGGAACACATTTTGACAAAAAAACGCAGGTCCCCATTAAACACCTGGTCTGGTTTTTATGTAAGTTCTCTGGAAGGAAAAAACCTCTTAAACCCCATGTGGTCACCCACTTTAGCTGCTTAGATTGTTAATACAAATATTAATGTTTAAACTTATGATTAATCTGTCAATATGAGCAAGCTACGCATCGTTAGATCAGTTAGGTTCATTTAACGGAAACATCAAGCCCCAAAGTCTGATTGTTATATATTTACCAGTGTAACCGGCATGGTACAAGAGATGAAAAGAAAAAGAAAAGTGGTGACTCTCGTTACCTTCTGAAGCATTCATTAAGTCTGAATGTGTCCGTTCCTTGCTTATTTATATTCCTTTAGTCTGTAAGGGTCCACCGATCCAAAGAATCAAAACAGCTTTTAATAAAAATGAATCAAAGTTGTGAATCCTGTCATGTGAAGTCCATCGCTCTCTGTCTGCTAACCTCTACCACACTTCTCTCATTCTGCACCCTGTATTTGTTTTTGTTGCTGCCTTCAAAATAAAAGCGCATAAGCCGTCTTTAGGAGCTAGATCAAATGAATGACGTGTATTTGATATTATTGGAGAATTTTTATAAAAGTAATATTGTGTTTGATATAAATAAACTGTTTCATAGTAGCCTATTTCAGTTTTGTGCAAGAGGAATCAAAGGCCTGTCCCGAATATAGGCAGGGTTAATTCTGTGATTTTGGCAAATAAAAGCTTTCAGGTATTTTAATTTTCCAATACTGCCAAACTGCACTGCTTTTACAAGATGTCATTTTTGTCCCACTTTCCACCCTGCTGGTTTACATTGGGGCATTAGGAGGGGTTTCCAGTCGAAGTTCACCAAAGTTTAATCCTGCTGATAAACTTGCTAACTGTATTGAGTTTAACATGGTTTTCTGTCAGAAATAATGAGAATTTATTTGTAAATGTTTTTTTAATGTTGGTAGCAGTTGTTAACATGCTGTTTCTAAATACAGTGTGAACCCATATTCTTCTTTTTTTTTGTGTGGGTATTGAAATGAGCTTTCCACTAAAATGATTATTTGTTGACTTCACACATGTGATCCTCTCCTTTCCAACTATGCAATCTTTATTTTTTTTCTCTCACCTCTCAGTCAGTGATATAGGTATGTTGCCTGGCTGTAACCCCTGGCTGTCAGTCACAATGAAGAAAAACTTGTTACCTCCCATAGAGACAACCTACTTCTTGATCTGTTTCTGTCCCACGTCTCCTTTTTGTGTCTGTGTCTGTGTCTCCATTCCCCATTCCATTTTCCTCCTTGTTCATGCTGTCTGTTGATCTCCATCTCTCTCAGATGTGCTGCCAAAAGTGGAGACGAGGGTTGTTCTGGTGGGAGAAGCGGGCAGAAATGGAGCGCTCGTCAAAGCACTGCAGGTACATCATTCTATTTATTTATTTTTTATTTTTTATCCTGAAGGTCCACTGCCTTCTATTAAGGTGGGAGGCCTCTACAGCCTGAGCTAGTCACCATCACTGCTGTTCTTAGTTTGACAAGTAGGACAGTTTTGAAAGACTATACTGATACTTTTTAGCCTGGGAACCAGATGAATCTCCGAGCTCGTGTTGTATTTGCTTTGGCAGATACATCTGGCCTCTCTCCAATTCAGACGGATTGAGAGAATAACGTCTTCATTTAATGAGAATTTATAATATTTTTTCAAGTCTACCTGCCCTATACTTTGCTGTACATTACTTTATTTGACCTGCTGATGTGGTAGTGTCTCCTTCACACCGTCTGACAGACAGAACTGGTTATGACTGTACTGGATGAGCCAAGTGCACCTCTCTTCATCGTAGGTAGAAAACAGAAACTGGTCAGACAGAAATCTCACCACAAATCCACACACGTTAACTTCAGTTCCTCAGATAAAGTGCAGCTCATAGACTCAAACGGAGCCAGTTTGTGTCTCAGTTTTTGGATGTTTATTATGCAAAACTCTCCCAGCTAAGTTACCACTCAGTAATACAGCTGACTCACAGCGAGAGAGGGGGGTTCTCCGGTGTTGCATTACATTATCAGTTATACATTTGTTTTTCAATCCGTGAGTTACATGACGCGATTGAGAGCGTCAGCAAGCCGTTTCTAAATTGAGGGGACAGATGGGCTGGGACCGCGGGAACAGGTCTTGGGCTGAGTAGCCAGCCAGTGATGGTAGGCTAACTATAGGAAGAACAGAAGACGCGCTCCGTCGGTTCAGTTTATCATTTGCTAAATAACAAGGCCTAAAAGTAAGAGTCACCAGTTAACCTGTCTTTGGACTGTGGGAGGAAACTGGAGCTATCAGAGAGAACCCACGCAGACACAGGGAGTTTTAGTAAGATTCACGTGTACAAGCATGAACACATGTGTTAGCTCAGACACAGTACAAGACAGTACAGCGAGCGGGAACTTTGAATTTTGAATCTTCTTTTCCTTATTTTTACCTCATTACACAGTCAGTGTCAAGTCCAAATTTGCATATATTTTTCCTGCTTGTATTTATCATGTGAACAAATGGAAACATTGCAAGTTAGGACTGGAGCTCGCTACAGAACCAAGAAAACCCCCGGGTTACAAAACTATGTTATAACATTAAGCATAACATCCTGTCAAATGTGGGTTAACGTCTTTCTATCTGTGCGTGTTTGTGTCTGCTCCAGTAAGCAGCATAGTTCTTTGTGTCTTTGAGTTGCACCATGTGAAGGTGATTTGGAGGCGTGGCGGCATACTAAGTGCTGCTGAATTACTTCCTTCTCTCCTCCTGAGCCCTGTCACTTCTGAAGGCTTTCTGCTTAAATCATCTATTTCTCCCCATCAAGCTGCAGCGCAGCCACATCCAAAGATATCTGCCTGTCCAGCTCCTTCACAGTCCTCCCGATTGCCCGCCTGACCGCCCGCCACCAGCGCTCATGCAACCCACAAAGAGCCCGCACACAGGCACACACACACGCGCACACACACACACACCGCACCATTTCTTCACATGCCCTTCCCTTTCTGTCCTCTTCTTTTCCTCCTCTTCTCCCTCTCAGGGGCTTTGAATTTTTATATTACTTTGTAACAGAAATGTCTTCTCCCCAGCCTACCACCTCTGAAGCCTGATATTTGTTGTAAGTCATTGTCTTTAGACTTTGCAAGGACGCAGACCCCGCCCCATCTCTTCCTGTCCTCCTTCCTGCATCCCTAAACCCAGCCATCCTCTCCTTTGTCCTCATGTGAAGTAAATTTGTCTGAATTTGTCTCTGGCTTTCTCTTTTACTATTTCTTTGTTTCTCATTCTCTCTCAACCTTCTTTCCTTCCCCTGTTTTTTTTTTTTTTGTTTGTTTTGCTCTCTTCCTTTCAAATGCTAGTGTTTGACATCCACTTCCTGCTGGTTGGTTTTTACAGGCCGTCAGAGTAATGGAGGTACCAGTGGTAAAGATAAGACAAGGCGAGGCGGGTGCCGAAGAGAAAATGATGATAAAATCTATAGTCAATATGGTACAGTACAATGTCTGTCTCTCTGTGTGACTGACACGTGGATGGGAACTTTGTGCTGCATGCATCTTAATTCACACTGGGTACTCACTCAATCATTGTGCATGGCAAAGTCATTGGTGGTGAATTGATTTGTGGGTGAACATTAAAAATATGTGATATAATGCTTGATATCTGGATTGCTCTTTAATGGACATTTGCATTCAAATGTCAACGCAAGTTTCTAGCCCGAGGAGTAACATTAAAGTCACTTAAAAAGGCTTTCTACCAACCTTCATGGCATTTGAAAATGGCCACTTTCTGTTTCCAGCTGTTAACACAGAGTTGCAAAAAGTCTCATGAAAAGCAGTTGGCGCGCACAATATTTCATTAGACAGGTCTTGGAGTGTGATCAACAGCAATGCACCTAAGAAGAAGCTTTGAGTTTTTTAAATGTCATCTCCTGTTAAAGAAATGGTTGAACATTTTGCCATATGTAAATTTGCTTTCTGTGTGTGAGATGTGAAGAGTAAACAATCTTATGTGTATGAAAAACCTAGGTTTGAATAACGGCAGACTAATTGCACATGACCCCTCTGACATTTGTGGACCACTCCTAAATTGTGGTCAGACAAGAAAATTCAAAACATGAGAAAACTGGTGAATGCAGCAAGTTCTCCTAAATCACTTTGAGTGGTACTTGCATGAGGCCCAATGTTTTCAAGCGATCATGTCAATTCCAAACAGCACCGAGCTAGCGATTAGCTGGTGAATAGAGTAAATAGAGCAAATATGTTTGACAGGACTAGTTGGAAACTAAAACAGCTAAACGGAGAATGAACATTGGACTTATGTTTCTCAGCATAACAACTTAATAACGCCATAATATATCAAATGTATGCGATGTTTAGGATGTTATGGAGTTCTGTCTCCAAATGGCTAAACCTAATGTCGCTTTAAAAATGAAACTATGTGTTTTGGTAGGAAAGAGATAGACTGACATTGTTGCTTTTGGTCTTTTCATGGGATTTGTTGACAGTAAGGAAAATATAAAGCAATTCCAGTGTTCTTAAAATTTAAAGTTGCGTTACAGAGAACATCAGATTATACTAACAAGGCTAACGAGCCTCCCTGGTAATTTGCTGGTAAATTATGCACGTCTGAATGTTCTCCGAACTGCCCCATTACTCCTTAATGTGATTTTTTTTTTTTTTTTTTTTTTCATTTCCTTCCTCAGGACATCAACACCCCATGCATAATTACAGACAGAGTCCAAGAGTTTGGAGATGGAGAGAACACTGAATTTGAGACGGTGTTCATCCTGACAGACTTTGATTCTCCCGACTACAGCTACCTCTACAAACGCGACAACCGCATTGTTGGCCCTCCTGTTGTGCTGCACTGTGCCGCGAAGGAGGAAGTAAGCAATTGATTCGCATCATATTTATTTTAAGCAAAAGATCTGGGGCATGAAATGTGTCAGACACTACAGAGCACATTTTGTCACTACCTGAGAAGTGATGCCACAGATGTATTTGGGTGGTACTTCATACTCTAGCACGATAGTGACTTAGAACATACTGCTATGGGTTCCAGACTTCAGGCAGTGATCGACCGATGCCCAATATTGCTGTCAATTCCCTTAAATTAAAACTGAAAACACATACAGCATGGTAGTGTACTGAGACAAGCGTCCAAATACTTCTGCCTTCTGTACATGCAAGTTTGGACTGCAGTGCCGAGCATCATAAAGAAATATATTTCTTGAAAACGGGGGAAATTGTGTTATGCCATTCTGCAGTTTTTCACCCCTGTCATGCATTTATCTGGCACTATTTATGGTAAAGCTTCGGTGCAAGAATGATATAAAAAGTAGGGTTGGGCCGGTAGACGATTCCATTGCCGATGGCTGACAGATATCACAATGTTGAGCTGGCATCGTGAAGGTCCATTTGAGAGAACGTTTATTATTGAGAATTTGTTTTAATAAGCTTTGGCAACGATGTGTTGTATGCAGTCATGCCAATAAAGCCAATTCAGGTAAACCGAGTTAACACACCTCTTTCTGTACATGGCTATGGAGCAACCGGAGCCATGGAATAGCCTACAGCACAGCAATTAGGAGTCTGTGGCAGAAAAACCTAAGAAGCGTCCAAGAAAAGTTTCTGTTATGTTTTTATTGCACTGATTTTTCTTGTTTTCTTCCATGCCCACAGCCCCTACCATTTTCATGTCGTCCTCTCTACTGCACCACCATGCTTAACCTGTCGCTGTGTTTCACGGGATTCAGAAACAAAGAGGAAATGGTGAGTTTATTAACTTCACATTATTTAACTTGAACTTTTTTTTTTGGAGGGATGATAACTTATGTTCTGTGTAGGGGTGTCACTATTTGTGACGATTAGATTTTTGATGTAAAAAAATGTTTTCAGCATCTGCCAGAGCAATTAAAACGCGACTTTGGTTCCCAGGCTATGCCATTGTTAGCCTAGCGTTGTTAACCCAGCAATGGTCATGGTCTCAACTTGAAAAGTGCAGCTGCGTGTTACCATGAAGCTCCGCCATGTCGTCTTTGAAGCGTTTTTTTACCTTTACCTTTTTTTTTTTTTTTTGGGATCACGCTGGACATGTGCAAGAATGCAGGGGTGAAGAGAAAAAAAAATACTGGGAGAATCGTAGACCCTGCGTTTGATTTCGAAGGTTGAAATCAAATACTTGTTTTGATTTTTTTTTTATTAACAAAAGTTTGGCACCCCTAGTTTGTTCTCAGGCCTTCTTCCTTGGAAGATTTGTGTTGTTGATAGCACACAGGCTTTTCTAAAATATCATTCCAGTTGACAGAGTTCATTTAGTATGCTTATTGTAGTGAAACACTTACAAATGGGCTTTTTCCATGGCACATCATGGCAAAGGGTTTTACTTTGAGTTGAAGATGTGCTTGTTTGCAGAAGACGCAGTAAGAGCCTTTTGCCTGTCGAGTGTAATAGCTTGGTTCGGGATGTTGTGGTGCATCTCAGTAAAGAAGACATCTGTCCACTGCAGATGCCCTGTCCATAACCTGGACAAGTAACTAGTCTAAATATGTTTTGGTATATTTTAACATCAAATAAAAAGTGTTCTAATTTAGTAGATTGCATACCACTAATAATTTTCATGTTGGACAATACAGCAGTTTCCTTTCCTGTGGTTTGTTTTCATTTATTAAATCCTTGTTTAAAGAAAATTGGTCTACATTGTGGTTCACCTCTAATTTGTCTGAAAAGTGAAGCCAAGCAGAATGAACTCAATCTGCATTATTTTTTAACGACCAGCAGGGGGCGACTCCTGCACCCGGTTCCATTAGAAATGATGGTAAAATGACCCTACTTCTCACCTTTTTTATGAGTGAGTTATCAGTAAACACTTTAAAATGAGTTTGTGGTCTCAGTCGCTAGTTTCATGTCTTCAAAACAGCATGATGTTCATTCAGTAAATTATGGTCCTGTTTAGGTGGAAATGGACAATAAAGCAGAGTATGCTGTAGGGCGGGAATACCTTGTGATTTTATGACAACCTGTCAGTCAGGACAGAGGCGGCTCCTATACGCTGCTCTGTGTACATTTATCCAGTGCCGTTGAAAATATTATAGAATAAAAAAAAAAAAAAATATAATTTGAACTATGATTACATATTTGTTTTGTTTTTAAATGTCAGGGATGTGTTTTAAGAAACGGTTCTAACACAATAACGGATAAATCACACAAATCTGATAAATGACAACTTTTGGAGGGAGGAACAGTAAAAAATGTCTTGGGGCATAATAATAAGCTTCAAACCCACTGGCCCGCAGGGACCAGTTGTAATGAAGTTTAACGTTAAGCCCTGGCAAGCCCTGGCAATAAAGATGGAGATGAAGATGTCGGTGAGTAATTTCACCACATAGTCCTTTTGGATGAAAGCCCCGCAGCATCCTTCCCTCGCCACGGATGGAGCCGAGGCGGAGAGTGTTTCTGATGGCAAACATGGTGTTGCTTACAGTCAACAGAGAGAGATACTCCTGAAGTTGATATGGTGCATGGTTTTAGATAGATAGATAGATACTTTATTTATCCTGAGGGAAATTCAAGTAGGTTCAAGGTTTTCAGACCTGGGCTAGCTTCTCTTTAGCATAGAGAAAGTAAGAGAACTTTTAACTGCACTGCAAACATAGACTGTATATAAGAAGTGGACGTAGTCATCGTGACGTCACCCGTTGGTTTGTGGACTGCCATTCTGAAGCCTCGAGTTTGGCCGACAGGGCGCCGCCATGTTGAGTTTTTGCATCCAGGAAGTGACGTGGCGCTAAGGGCCGTGTGCGGAGCCAACTAGCTTGCTTAGCTAGGTGCAACTGTAACTCACGTTAACTGTCATTTTAACAGGGCTGATAACTTTGTCTAGCAAACAGGCTTAAAACTAAATGTACTCACCAGAGAAAATGAACAGCCGACTCCTGATAACCTTTTTCAATGGCGCTGGTTAAATTTTATACAGTGCCATGGGAGTCTAGCCTGATTGACAGGACGCCATGGTAACGACTTGTCAATCATAGATTATCCCGCCCTGAAGCATACCCTGTGTTATGGTCTATTATAAAATAAATGGGACCATAATTTACTAAATGAACATCATGCTGTGTTGAAGAAGACTTGAAACTAGTGACTGAGACCATAAACTCATCAGGAAAGTGTTTACTGGGATAATTATTCAGCTGAGAAGTAGGGTCATTTTCCCATCATTTCTAATTTGCAACCAGAAGAGTCGCCCCCTGCTGGGCATTCAATAGAATGCCGGTTTCGAGCTTCCCGCTTGACTACAAACTACAGCATCAAAATGTCCAAAATGTTGAATCAATACCTCCAAAGCGGTTTATAAAACATTAAAACCTTCATGAAAGCTGATTTTACTGTATTTATTTCAGGTAGTTATATTTTCTACACTGGCAATTAAGTGTATGTTGGCCGATAAGTAACTAGAAATAATGTCATGTGTGCCATTTGTCACAAAATAGTTCTGTGCAAGTCTCTGCTTATTACTGTATAATGTTACTATAACACATTTCCAACCAATGCCTCATACATGGTATATGTGGCATTTAGAAATTCTACTTGGCTTGATGACGCTATCTAATCCGGTACCATAATACTCTCAGATATTCAGAGACTAATTAACTAGGCTATCTGTTAATTAATTCAAATAATAATAAATTAATGAACTTTTAGCAATAGAATAAAGCCAGTGGCATAGCAAAGTGTCTCTTCCACCTTGATATTAATATCCCTCTTTGTGCTAAGCTTGTGTTTGCTGTTTTTGTTTTCCATGTAGAAGAAATTGGTGAATCTTGTTCATCACATGGGGGGGACAATACGGAAAGACTTCAGCACTAAGGTTACTCATCTCATCGCCTACTCCACTCATGGAGAGAAATACAGGGTTTGTACTTTTTTGTTTACTCTGATCTTGGAATCTTTTTACTCTGTGTGTGTACCTGACATTAATACAAAAAAGTGCACAAAATAAACAACCAAAAAACCCTTCTGCTGTTCGCTTCTTTCTCAGCTTCTTTCCGCTTCTCGCATGAATGCTTCTTCTTCGTGAGTAGTCTTACAGTTAAGCAGTCATGGCAGATAGTGGAAGAGATACTGCCCCCAGCACTTCCTGTAGTGCATTGCAGTTAGAAATAAACAGCCAGAAATTTTCTTAATAAGAAGATTGCTATCTCTCCCTTAAAGATCCTCTCTGTAACGATGCGTCGACAGGTGAAATTTTACGACTACGAATCTTTATAGTCGGCGTCAATTACGTCGACTAATCGTTGCAGCCCTAGTAGGCTGGACAATATTGTTAAAAATGTATACCAACATTTTATCCAATGCTTTTAATGCGCTCTTAGAAACGTTTACTACAAGTGAAAGAAGAGATCATTATGAAAATGGAAGGACTCAAAATGAGAATCCACCACTCATCTTCTGATTGTGTAGCACGTTCACCCTCTCTGGTTGAAGAAACAGAATGAGCAGGAAAGTTCCTCCCATCCTAGCCTGAATCCCAGTGTCTGGGTTTAATGTCAGAAACTGGTAATTTAATTTCCAGTTGGATCCTAAAAGTTCAACACATGACATACTCGTTAGGGAGACATAGGATGGATGGATGGATAAATGGGGCAGCAATATTTTTATCGATTAAGCTAACTATAATTTATTCATTAGTCAGTTAGTATAAAAAGTCATCCAAAATAAATATCAAAAACTTGTCTGATTCAATATTTTATTCAATCATCCTAAAAAGTCTTTCTGTAGATTTGGCAGTGATGCTGTTGTGAATGTCCACGAGCATGAGACGCAGGCCTGTAGTCACTCATGTGGGAATAGCTTAAAGTTTCAATGCTTTCCCGAGGTATTTGGTGTGGGAGTTGGGAAAGAAAATTTTACATTTTGCCAAAAGAAATTATGCAACTTCACATTATTTTGGATCCTATTGTGAGACCATGTCAGAAAAATATTGGTCATACTAGTCTCACCTGTCGTAGGCGAGGTTTTTTAGCTGCAGCTTGAGCTCCATGAGAATCCCTGAGTGACACTGGGTGATCAGGAGTAACAGAAACAGATTGTTGTACTGTGAGCGCTGACAGCTGTTTAAAGGTTTTTATAGTTATAAATTAGCAGATAAATGTCATGCCCCTTCTGACTGTCTACCTCATGGTCGCACTGTTTATTCATTTGTGTTTTCTTGTCCTCCTCTCTTTACAATGTCTTATTGTGACCTCAGCTGGCAGTGTGCATGGGGACGCCCATCCTTACTCCATCATGGATTCAAAAGGCCTGGGAGAGAAGAGATGATGTGTAAGTTGAAAATCCTTGAAGGAAGCCTATGTACCATGTCCTGCTGAAACTGTAAGCCATTTTTATTCATGTTTATTATAAAAGGTATTGATGCAAGATTTTTGAGACCGATATCTATATTGATATTTGAGAGTTAAGCAAATCTGATGGATATAGATTGTTTATTGTCCTCAAAGGAAATTTGTCGGTCTGTACAGAGCCTCCCATAAATACATAGGTTCAACAACATAACATGAAAGACATCAGATACATCCACAGCAGCATTTGTGCACGTCAGTGGTTTTTTGTTCAAAGCTCATTTCTGGATAATTGTTATTTTGATAAAAGTAATTTAACATGTGAAATTATTTCATGGTGATATTGACAGTTTAATTTAATACTTCAAGTACATTTTCATGATTGATGATGACAAAGTAACCTCTCCAATACAGGAATTTAGGGCTGAACCCTTTTGGGGGAAAAAAAATCTAATTGCAATATATGATTTGCAAAATTGTAGGGAATGATAAGTTTTACATCATTATTATCATTTTCATTGTAAAATGATAATAGTGTGATTTTTGAAGGTATTGGTACCAAACAAAGATGTTTTTCTGTTGTCTGTAGAATATGATGTGGAGGCCAGGACATCTCTGTAGCACGACACTATTTAATATAAAATGGCATTTTTACACATTGTAAACCTTTTACAAATATTGCACTTCCTGTGATTTGAAAAATTGCTGTAGACCATATTGTGATGGTGTGGTCTTAGTATTTTTACTGAAGTAAATAATCTGAGTACTTCTTCCACCACTGCTTGTGTGAAGTTCCTCCAGTGGAAAAGGAATTCTGACTAAGATGTATTGAACAGGACGTTCTATAGTGATGAATAAACCCATCAGTGCTCTCTCTGGTGGACAATCTAATAGCAATCCTGTTTCTAAAATGTCTTTGACATTTATGTACTACAACGTCTTGTTGCTTATTCACCAATATGCTAATACAGATAAACATTATTATGATAGTGTATAGTACTGTAGTTTTTCATTTTCGTGGTCTGATGGTAACCTTGTTTCTCCCACCTTCTGGTTTTAAGGTACTTCCATGCAGGAGAAGAGGACTTCCGAACAGAGTTCAAAGTGCCTCCATTCCAGGACTGCATCCTCAGTTTTTTAGGTTTCTCAGATGAGGAGAAGACCAACATGGAGGAGAGGACTCGCAAACACGGTCAGCGCTGCAGCATATAGGGATCTGTCATTGTTTCTCTGCAGCAGTTTCTGTGGGTTTATTTTTGTTTGGCTATAGTTCTGTCCACTTGAAGGAAGCTAGTTAGCCAGACATGCTAACATTAGTGGCTTACAGGTGCACTTCATGCAGTTCCTACACTTGCACTTTTGTATTTTTGAAAAAGTGATAGAAAATAACACCATCTTCCAAATGGAGTATTAGTCTTTCATGTTGGGAAAGCCCAAAGCTTGACAGACCTAGTTACATTTGTTAAGCTATGATTAGGCTGTGGCTGTTTGTAAAAGGTGTGTGTGTGTGTGTGTGTGTATGTATATGTATATATATATATATATGTGTGTGTGTGTGTATGATTATAAATAATATTTGAACACCCTGCTATTTTGCAAGTTCTCCCACTTAGAAATCATGGAGGGGTCTGAAATTGTCATCGTAGGTGCATGTCCACTGTGAGAGACATAATCTAAAAAAAAAAATCCAGAAATCACAATGTATGATTTTTTAACTATTTATTTGTATGATACAGCTGCAAATAAGTATTTGAACACCTGCCTATCAGCTAGAATTCTGACTCTCAAAGACCTGTTAGTCTGCCTTCAAAATGTCCACCTCCACTCCATTTATTATCCTGAATTAGATGCACCTGTTTGAGGTCGTTAGCTGCATAAAGACACCTGTCCACCCCATACAATCAGTAAGAATCCAACTACTAACATGGCCAAGACCAAAGAGCTGTCCAAAGACACTAGAGACAAAATTGTACACCTTCACAAGGTTGGAAAGGGCTACGGGGAAACTGCCAAGCAGCTTGGTGAAAAAAGGTCCACTGTTGGAGCAATCATTGTCAATCTCCCTCGGACTGGGGCTCCATGCAAGATCTCACCTCGTGGGGTCTCAATGATCCTAAGAAAGGTGAGAAATCAGCCCAGAACTACACGGGAGGAGCTGGTCAATGACCTGGGAGGAGCTGGTCAATGACCTGAAAAGAGCTGGGACCACCGTTTCCAAGGTTACTGTTGGTAATACATTAAGACGTCATGGTTTGAAATCACGCATGGCACGGAAGGTTCCCCTGCTTAAACCAGCACATGTCAAGGCCCGTCTTCAGTTTGCCAATGACCATTTGGATGATCCAGAGGAGTCATGGGAGAAAGTCATGTGGTCAGATGAGACCAACATAGAACTTTTTGGTCATAATTCCACTAACCGTGTTTGGAGGAAGAAGAATGATGAGTACCATCCCAAGAACACCATCCCTACTGTGAAGCATGGGGGTGGTAGCATCATGCTTTGGGGTGTTTTTCTGCACATGGGACAGGGCGACTGCACTGTATTAAGGAGAGGATGACCGGGGCCATGTATTGCGAGATTTTGGGGAACAACCTCCTTCCCTCAGTTAGAGCATTGAAGATGGGTCGAGGCCGGGTCTTCCAACATGACAATGACCCGAAGCACACAGCCAGGATAACCAAGGAGTGGCTCTGTAAGAAGCATATCAAGGTTCTGGCGTGGCCTAGCCAGTCTCCAGACCTAAACCCAATAGAGAATCTTTGGAGGGAGCTCAAACTCCGTGTTTCTCAGCGACAGCCCAGAAACCTGACTGATCTAGAGAAGATCTGTGTGGAGGAGTGGGCCAAAATCCCTCCTGCAGTGCAAACCTGGTGAAAAACTACAGGAAATGTTTGACCTCTGTAATTGCAAACAAAGGCTACTGTACCAAATATTAACATTGATTTTCTCAGGTGTTCAAATACTTATTTGCAGCTGTATCATACAAATAAATAGTTAAAAAATCATACATTGTGATTTCTGGATTTTTCTTTTTTAGATTATGTCTCTCACAGTGGACATGCACCTACGATAACAATTTCAGACCCCTCCATGATTTCTAAGTGGGAGAACTTGCAAAATAGCAGGGTGTTCAAATATTATTTCCTCACTGTGTGTGTGTGTGTGTGTGTGTGTGTGTGTATACACACACACACACTCTTTTGGGACACATTGGTGAATGGGTCACAGTGGGGGATTAAACCCGGGTCTCTCACACCAAAGGCATGTGTCTTATCCAATGCGCCATCAACACCCGTGTGTGTATGTATAAATATATAATGTATATATTTTCATCATCTCCCTGCTTTTCTGTGTCAAAGGTGGCGGTTATGTTGAGATTGGAGATGAGAAGTGTACGCACATGGTGGTGGAGGAAAACTCAGTGAAGGAGCTGCCATTTTCTCCCTCTAAGAAACTCTATGTGGTCAAACAGGAGGTAGGCCTTTTGTTTTTTGAAAAGAGTGGAGTTACTGGTCAAATACTTGACGTGATAGGCATACTCCGAAGTTTTGCTACAAGACGATACAGACACAAGGGGGAAAATAATGCACTTTCCCCCTCCTTAACAGAATGCCAACTGGTCGTCCATTAAAGATTCCTTTTAGGTTCAACCTCAGTCTTCTCAGTACAGTCTTCTACAGTCTTTAATTAATAATAGATTTCCCCTTCCAAAGTATGAACAATTTGAACCAAGGTAGAATGGTGGTTGAGATGTTGGTACAACTCCTTAATCAATATGGCCTTGTCTTTACTGCCATGTTTTGGTTTTCAAGTTCAGCGTATGTTATTGTAGTATCAAATCTTTTCCCTTTTTTCTACCTACCTGTTTCCTTAAACAGTAAAAGCAGTTTTCTCTCTTCTGTGTTAGTGGTTCTGGGGAAGCATTCAGATGGATGCTCGGGCCGGTGAGTCCATGTACCTCTACAAGAAGGTGAGTGTATTATGGGTATTGTTAATGTGTATAAAGGATACTGCACACTTGTGAAATGCAAATACATATAAATGATTTTTTCTCTCATTTGAATAAGAATAGTATGCAAACAATATAAAGGCACTGGATTAACAATTTTTTTTAATTTGTCACAGTAATCTTTTTTTAATACCAATGTAGTCTATAGTATATGAATGAGTGCCTTCTATGCCAATATGTATTGAAGCAGCAGCATTTTAATCATTTTAATTTTCCACTATTAACGTGTAGTTAAAAGTTAACTCAGTTTTACATCAAGCTGTGTCTCTTGAGATACTGCATACATTAGTTTTGTGAGGGAATTAACGTGAAATCAGGTTGCAAGGGGTAAAAAGGATGTTGCGTAAAGTGACTGAAAGTAAGGTACAGAAAACGAAGAGCAACAATTTTATATGTGAAACATGTATTACACACAACTAATAAATACTAGACACACAAATGAATGGATAAATGCAGCATATTCTGAATACAGCAATGAATAACTGACAGACATTATTGACCAGTGAAATCATCTTCATGCACCATTCAGCAACTGAAAGGAGATATATATATATATATATATATATATATATATATATATATATATATATATATATATATATATATATATATATATATATATATATATATATATATATATATATATATATCTCAAAAGTCAGAACACCCCTCACATTTTTCTAAATTTCTGATTTATATTTTTTTGTGTGACAACAATGAAGAAATGACACTTTGCTGCAATATAAAGTAGTGAGTGCACAGCTTGTATAACAGTGTACATTTGCTGTCCCCTCAAAATAACATCACACAGCCATTAATCTCTAAACCGCTTGCAACAAAAGTGAGTACTGCTCTTCGTAGCTCCGGTAGACTCCGGTCAGCTAATGTTTTGTTCTGTGGTGCTGGATTGTTTTGAGCAGAGGAGCTGCGGAGCGCCCGCTATCCAACACTTCCCTGACATGAGGGAAGGTTCCGAGACTTTGTTTCTTTTTTAATAGTCATATATCGGCCGTTATAAACACTGATGCAGATATATCTGCAAGTAGCTTATATCGGCCGTTAATATCTGTAAACCGATAAATTGTTCGGGCTCTAATGGTAACGACCCTAAGGACACCTCTAAGACGACCACTGCCTCGCTAAAGAAGCTGAGGGTAAAGGTGATGGACTGGCCAAGCAGGGCTCCAGACCTAAACCCTATTGAGCCTCTGTGAGGTGTCCTGAAATGGAAGGTGGAGGAGCACAAGGTCTCTAACATCCACCAGCTCCGTGATTCGTCATGGGAGAGTGGAAGGAGGACTCCAGTGGCAACCGGTGAAGCTCTGTTGAACTCCTGCCCATGAGGGTTAAGGCAGTGCTCACTGTTGTTTCCAGTGGTTTAGATAATTAATGGCTGTGTGATGTGTTGTTTTGAGGGGACAGCAAATTTACACTGTTATACAAGCTGTACACTCACTACTTTACATTGTAGAAAAGTGTAATTTCTTCAGTGTCGTCACATGAAAATATTTTGGTTTTTTTTTTTTACAAAAATGTGAGGGGTGTACTCACTTTTGTGAGATACTGTACAGAGAAATATGACTATTGAAGCAAGATCATTTCTGATTTAACACTAAATTATCTTTTAACCCCCAAATCACAGAAAAAGTATTTTATTTCCCCTTCATATCGCCAGTGAAGTTGAGCTGGAAGGGAAGCGCCGGTCGATTCTCCTGTGTGAGCTGTTATGGCATGTTTGGATGCTTGGTCCCACATGTAGTTCAGCCAGCTGACTCCTCTTGCAGAGTTCCCAAGATCTGCCATTGTTGTTCCCGAGTGGTGACTTGGCTTGAGTCCGTCATCTCTCAGAAACATGGATCCCATCTTGTGCAGACACTTGGCTTGGTGTGCTGGTGCTGCATTGGCGTTCAGCGTTTTGTAAACTCAAAGTTCGTTCCATTTTTCAGTCAGGCTGGTCTCTGGATAGAGGGCCTGCAGGCCGCCATCCTGGCGAAACACAGCAATAAGCAGGGCCAGATCTAAAAAAAACAAAAAAAATAGAATCCAAGTATCACCCTGAGAATGGATTAGCGAGGCTCATAAATTGGCCTATTGTCACTTAACTTTTACTGGCTTCCTCTCTAAGTCCTGGCGGGTGTTATCAGACTTGTAGGGTTCAGGTCAGTCATAAAACGGGCAATAATCACTTGATATAAGCCTTTGAGGAATAGCGTGGTTGGTCCCTCAGAGTTACTTTGAGTCATGCATGGGCATACGGGCCATATGCAGGCTGTTTAGGAGAGGGCATCAGTTCTGTGCGGAAGGAAACAGAGAGCATCCCCGTAGCCATAGTAACTCTCACTCCTGACTGTGTGTGCACGGTGCTGCGTGGGATAAAATTAGCCTACAATATACTGTATTGGTCCGAATATAAGGCAGGATTTTCATCCTGGAATTGTAAAATGTGGGGTCATGTTATATTTGGGGTCTAGACGTGTAAATGTTAAAATACACCCACAACAACAGATGGCACCAAGTTTCTGTTAAATGAGTTTTGCATTCCTGACTGAAGGGAGTACTTTTACCTCACAACTAGCTCACACTGCCAGGGACCTGAAGAGACACCGTGATCGTCTCGAACCAAGTGGTTCAAAAGTAGGTCAAGTTAAACCACAACTGAGGAGGAGCAAATTGGAAGATGATGGGTGATAAATGGAGCAGAGTGATGAAACACCTCTCTAGCAGCCAAGAAAGCCTCCCATCATAGAGAGAAGACGCACAATGAATTGTACCAGAGGGAATAACAGTCCACACTTTTGGACAGTCTTAATGGTGTTCCACCTGTTCACACCCTGGCTGCTTTCTGTCTTGTAACTGAATCTTTTACATTTCTTCAGAGTTGTTTCTCTCAGGTATTACTGTCCCACAGCCAATACAGGGCATCAACAAAAGTTTGGCATTTTGGAATAGCTGCTCTCCTTTACACAGCGCAGTTCAATCAAGATCAAGATCTAGTTTAACTGGAATGACATGCATAATACAGCCGTGGATAAAGATTTTTTTTTTTTTTTTAAGAAACACTGTATTACAGTTGTTACGTGCCAACCGCACCATTCAACAGATAATTGTATCACTTGCAAAAGGTTTTTGCTTCATGGTGTTTTAAATTTTTCCATCATTTGCAAGACATGCAGCTTGCCTTCATGTTGGTTTCTTTCTTTTTTTTTTTTAACAGCTCTTGAATTTGCCTTTTTCTTAAACTAATTTTTAATATATTTTTCTTTATGTCTTGCTATACTTCAGAATGACAGCCCAGCCATGAAGAAAGCAGTGTCCCTCCTGTCCCTCACCACCCCCAACAGTAACCGTAAGCGTCGGCGTCTGAGGGACACACTGGCGCAGCTCACCAGGGAGACAGAGATCTCCCCCTTCCCTCCACCACGTAAAAGGCCATCAGCGGAGCACTCCCTGTCTATGGGTTCTCTGCTGGACATCTCGAACACCCCTGAGACATGCAAGGCCTTCGCAGGTAAGAGAGAAAAGATGGACTGGAAAGCACCTGCTTGATCCAGCCCTAAATCTCCTTTTCTTTCTCTGGTTGACCCGTTACCATAGACAACCTTTTTTCTGTGATTATGGTTGATTCTCAGTAACAAGATTAACCCCTCTTTATTTCAGAAGGCAGAGTAGGGAACAGTTCAGAGAGCAAAGGAGACGATACTGTGACCAGGAATAGGATGAGAAGAAGGAAACCCAGGGAAAGGAAGATAAGGGCAGACAGGGAAGAGAGGAGGAGAAGGTCTTACCAGAGCACAGGTATCCTTCAACAACCTGAAAAGGAGCATCAGCCAGGAACTTCTGCAGGTTAGGTTTTGCTTCAAGAGTATGACTGTGCTGATATTAACAGATATCAGACTTTTTAAAGGCTAATATAAAGTAGTTGTTAGGGCGTTGAAAGAACTCTGGGAACGATAAATAGGCCATGTGTCAGTTTTACCAGTGGGACTAAAAAATGTCTTCAGTGACGCGATTGATTATACCCATGCCTTTATTGTATTGAAGTATAAATGTGAACCAGCCAGAGTTATCACCAGTCATGGCAGCACCTTTTGAGGCGCTTTCATATCTTTATGCCTCATTCAGCAGGTGGTGTAGCACAGGGATACATACAAAGCATACCTTGCTATACCTAAAGCAGAGCCATGCAGATGAATATCTGAAATCTTCAGTTAATATTCACCAATTCATTCTTACTTTTTGCTTTTGTTTAGTTATCGTGCTGTGTGTACTTAAAATGTACGTAAAGCTTGATTGTTAGTAATGGCCCAATTGAAAGTTATGCAGTAACAAATGTATGCATATCATATTAATATTTTAAGTTTATTACTGCAGTACCTTTCAAATGACCAAAAACTAAATGTCATTAGAGTCCAGGGAATTTTCATGGCAATACAGGGTCAGCAAAGATCAGCCCGCACTGGCGGTGTCTTGACATCAGTGACAAGCAGCAATCGTATGATATAGACACCCAGATCGGCACCACCAGCTTACCATGATAATGGTAGTACAGGCATTATTTTTTCCTAAAAAAAAAGTAAAAATACATGGTACTGAAAACAAAACACACTTTTTATTTTCATTTATTTTTTTGGTCCCCAAGTATCTAGTCTGTTCTGCAGGTTTTGTTTTCAGTAAAAAAATTCAGGACGTTTTGCTATTTGGACTCTTTGTCCTTATTTCATTGCAGTTGCAAAAAAAGAAGAAAGAAACGGTGGCCGACACCTGGCAGCGTTTGTCCGTGCTTCAGTGCTGTACTAACAGTTTGCCTTCCTCCCCACATGTCGTCTTCCTCTAGAGAGTTCCAAGCCATCCAAGAGTTCAACGCCACTTCTGTCCAAGCAGTCAGCCAGGTGGCAGGTCTCCAAGGAGCTCTACCAGACTGAGAGCAACTATGTAGACATTTTAAGCACCGTCCTACAGGTAGCTGTGTGTGTTGGCACAATGTGGACGATTTTACCACTCCCTCGCAGGTTGGCCTTCCAGTTGCCCCTGACAACAGTTTCAGGCTAAGCTATAATCATTAGAGGGGTATGTGAGTGCGTGTTTGTTTGTTTGTCTCACTTGGCCTGTCTTATCAGTTGATCCCAGCAGAGAGTCAGACAGCTGACCAGTGAGAGAGTAAATGACCTGCCTGACAATTTCTCTTTCCGTCTCCCTCCCCTTCAAAATATTTTACTTACTTTTCTTTACTGTCTTTTTTACCATTTCCCTCTCTTGTAAGCTGTCTTCTCTGTTGTGTTCCGCTGGGTTTAACAGTTCCCTGTCCTCGCATAAAGTTGGCCAGTTTATTCTAAACCTGGCAATAGAAGGTTATTCCCTTTTAAAAACTAACTTACCACATGCTGCTAAAATCACTTTAATAATGAAGCTGTAGTCCACTGCTGTGGAGGAAAACACAGTTGAGGCTGATTCCACAATCCAGTCACTTAGTCATCACTGCGCGTTAGCCATGTAGTGCTGTTGACTACTGCCTATTTCATAGTCAATTCATGCTCCTTTTTTACTTCACAGTTAAAACGGAAGTGAGTCTATACTTGATCTGTATTTCTGTGTGCAGCAGGTTCCTTTTTCATCTCATAGCCATTTACTGAGGCAGCTGATAGTATAAGCACGTTTACATGGATGAATTTCATTTTTCAATATGACACAACAGTAATACAGGTTGACTGCTAATATGGGTATGGCACTTACATGGCACAGTTATTCTTCTTCAAAATTAAGTTACTTATGTAATCGTGGGACATTTATTGTTTACCACAGAATGTGTTTCATTATTTTGTTTGTTGATTTACATCTGTATGAGCAGAATGATTTAAGGCCCTGTAGTAGATTGAACCCATGGCAAAGCTCAATGTTTACTCAACATTCATGAATTAACTAGGAAATTGCATTTCCTGCAGAAAATGTGTGTGAATGCTGACAGCTAAAATGAATCGCAAAGCATTGCTGAAAATGTAGAAATCTGAAAGCTCAAATGGATTACTCTACACTACTCAAAAACCTGGAAGCTGAAATGTAAAACTGGTAGAAGTTGAAAAGAAGCATAAATGTCCTTAAAGAGCATAACACATTTAGATTTGAATTTTTTCTGTAGCTGAAAGTACGCAGAGGTGTCAGGCAGCAACCTCGGGGGCTGAAAAATTAAGCAAATGCGAAGGAGCCAAAATCTGCAGCTGGTTTCAAAAGCAAGTCATTCCCCACAGACACACATGTTAAAATGCCCAGCAGCAGAAATAAACATGTTTAGAGCCTGGTACTAAAAAAAAATTCTGATAACAATGGCTAAATTCCTGATTAATGACGACTGTACAGGGGTGAATTTCTAAATAACTCTGCTGTTTTAAATTGTATTAAGGCTTAAAGTTCAGCATATTTAAAGCCACGGGCACTTTGAGTGACAGGTGGGGGCCGCCAAAATGTGGCTAGCTGCAGAAACCAGGCTTCATTCAGCCCGCCTCTGCTCCACCGACGCTCTACCTCTTTGCCCATTTTTCAGACGATTCTGGAGTTAGACATTAGACGGCCGCAGCCTCCCACATTGATCTTCACAATCAAATCACATAAACCTCTGGGTGACATCAGAGACTACCCTCCAGGTTTTAGAGTGAACAAGAAGCATACTAGAACTGAAAAGCAGCAATGTGTAATTTTTTCACTTGGTTTTGACAAAATGAACTCCAGTTGTGAAACGAACCTCAGATGCTGACATGTTTACTGACATTCAGAAATGTAACTTGGGAGGCAAACTGAGGCAAATGCATACATTAGGCTGCATCTCTTAAGGACATGTATATGAAAGTATAGTTTTGTGAGTGTATATAGTATTACTGATGCCAAGGCTATGAAAGCATCTGGAGAATTTCTTAGATGTCTGGAGTTTTGTGGAACCAGTATGTTGTGTTAGTGTGTCTTTGTGTGCTTCTCTCATATCTGTTCTTTATTTGAAGCTTTTCAAGCTTCCATTGGAAAAAGAGGGACAGGTGGGCGGCCCCATTTTGGCCCCAGAAGAAATTAAGACGATATTTGGCAGCATCCCCGACATCTACGACGTTCACACCAGAATAAAGGTAGGGTGTCCTCAAAGTTTGTGATGGTGTCATTTTTGAAGAGGAGTTGTTGACCTGTTGTTTTCTGTGTGTGATGTTTGTTCACCAGAGTGACCTTGAGGAGGTCCTCACAGACTGGTCAGAAGACAAGAATGTAGGAAACATCATTCTCAAATATGTGAGTACCAACACATGTTTACTAGTATACAGATGTTTTCTTACACACTCGTATGTAAGATAACATAGTTGTTCAGTGTGTAATACAGATCTAAAAATCATCTGTCAACAAGGACCTACTAATATCAGAATAAATTCATTTTGGAAGTTACTTACAACAGCTTTCTAGTTACTCAGAAATGAAGTCACAGTTAAAGCACTAACAAACTATTGCAATTTAATTCATGACACTAGTTTATAAACAGCTTGATGCAAAATCTAAACTGGGATTTCCTCCTCTATATGAAACTTTGTTCTTGTATCTGTGTTTTCCTCTTAATGCCTCTGACCTGTCCTCACCTTCTCTCTCTCCAGTCTAAAGAGCTGGTGAAGGCCTACCCACCTTTTGTCAACTTTTTTGAAATGAGCAAGGAGACCATTGTTCGGTGTGAGAAACAAAAGCCACGTTTCCACGCTTTTCTCAAGGTACGACCTTTGCATTTGTACTTTATCAGGGTGTCTGCCTGATAATGAAGTAATGTGTAGTTATGACATTACTGTTGGCAGGATTTTCATTTGAAGGATTTTCAGAGAGTATTTCACATACATGGCAAAGGTTAAGTAAAGGTCTGAAAAATAAACAATAGAGTTGTTATTATCACTATATTTTACCGCTCGTGGGTCTTGGTTTCTCTTGCGGGCTCCCGGAAAGTTAATCTATCAGTGCCCTTAACATGCACTTTAGTTACGGAGTTACAGTGATTTCTCCTGGAGAAGGCTGATTTCTGGACCTGGGTTTGTAGTTGGATTTTTGTATTGAGCTGGACAACAGACAGGGAAAGTAACGCTCTCACGGCTGAGCAGTGGGATGGAAGTCAGTGTTGTAGTCAAGACCGCCCAGACCGAGACAAGACCAAGACCAGTTACCTGCATTGAATGGCACTCAATAAAATGTGGAACGAAATCATAGGTAGTTCACAAAGTGATCTGAAAGATCCACTTTCCCATTAAAACACCCACATACAAACACTAAGAGCTGATATCAACGTAAGCATCGCAGGGAGGGGGGACAGTCGTTAATTAGGGTTATTGGTTGCATTTGAAGCAATACGTTTCACTTCCAATCAAAGTTAGGATGTTAACAAATCAGACAATGCAAAAGCAATTTATTGATATTCCCAAAGTTATGGACTTGAAATAAAATCCAGAGTCCTCAATGTCCGAGACCGAGACAAGATAGAGTACAAAGGCGGTCGAGTCCGAGACAAGACCAAGACCATCAAAAAGTGGTCTTAAGACCAAGATTGGTCTCGAGTACTACAACACTAATGGAAGTAGAGATGAAACACTATGGAAAATTTCACATCATGATTATAGTGACCGAAATAATCACAGTTATAAGTGCTATAATGTGCTGAAAGTACTGATACACACACTGAAACCATTTCACCAACTTTTATTGTAAAAACCACAAATACACTTAGCAGCACTGTGCTCTTTCTGTTTGCATAAACATTCAAATAAAAACTGCCAATATCTTATGAAAACATATAGGGGTTGTTCATTTAAAAGTGCAAAAATGAGTGACACTTTGTACATTTCTGGCAAAGCCCTTTTCAGAAAATATTGTCTGCAGAAATGGCTTGTTGAATGGTCAAAATTGAATTCTCTTTCGTACCAGATTCTCAGTATATTGCTCCAGTTTACACAAACAGACTCTCACTAACCCTTTCATTCTACAGATCAACCAGGCCAAGCCGGAGTGTGGCCGGCAGTCACTGGTGGAGCTGCTCATCAGACCTGTACAGAGACTGCCCAGTGTGGCCCTTCTTCTTAACGGTAACACACACACTCACGTACACACCCCTTTGTTAAAACTGTTAGAAAATCATTTATTGTGCTAATTACATCCCTCCTTGTCCCTTTTTTCTTATCTTTCTCCTTCCATACCCGCCTACTTCCTCCATTATCTTCTGTTGATACCTGTCTGTCATTTTTCTTCCCCTCTGTTCTTTTCATGATTTTCATCTCATCCTGCCTGTCTGCTTTTTACCAAACCTTTCCTTTCTTCCTCCAATGCAGACATAAAGAAGCATACGTCTGATGACAACCCAGACAAGATAACACTGGAGAAAGCAATTGAGTCTTTGAAAGAAGTCATGACGTGAGTTGGCTTGACCTTCCCCTTTCTTTTGAGATAATCACACATTGTTTGATCATTTCCAACGCCACATGTGAACAATCCTATCATACTAAGTCTGGACCATTATGGCCAAGTTCAACTTGTAATGAAGATTACAGTCACAAGTGTGCATGCCCACTCAGCATTCGCACTAATAATTGACCATTGTTAGACCCATGATAAGATTTCTAAGTCTTAACATAGACCAGAATTTTGCAATCCTTTGTGCTGTAGTCAAAGCAACTGAGTGACTTTAACAATATGTGAGCACTTTCAAGCAATGTGTGGCATGAAATATAATTGTAGAGGATAATAAAGAAGAGACAGGAGTCATGCATGAAATGATGGCACCACTTAAATCTGGCAGTTGAAGTGCAGTTTAGGAGACAAATGCTGCTCTTCTTTAAAACTGACTCCCCGTGTGATCAGACAGAGGTACTAAAATATATATCTAAATAAAAATAAAGAGCCCCACAGTTGTTCACTTCACAATCATGTAAAACAAAAAATTTGCAGCAAATCCCTGAGATGGTGGAGTCGGCAAACGGTCCGCATTTTTCCTTGATCAATGATTACGACACAATTGAATTTGACTTTTCTGGTGATCAAATTGGCTAATTGTTTCAGCACTACTGAGATGAACAGTAACATTATTTTCCTCCCCACCAGTCACATCAACGAGGACAAGAGGAAGACTGAAGGCCAGAAACAGATCTTCGATGTTGTTTATGAGGTTGATGGCTGTCCTGTAAGTTTGAGGATTGCTATTGTTTGTTTATCTGTTGTTGTGTGTAGACCAAGTTCTAGAATTCTCTAATTCATATAAAATAAACAGAAATTTTAAAGCTCTGCATGTTTTAAAATAGACCTATTATAGACTGTGTACAGATCTGTCAAGTCATAGTTAAATTTTCATGTGTATTTTACATGCACAGTGATGCCATGATGTTTTTTCACCAGATGTCAGCAAGTCAGCAATAAACTGTTCCAACAGGCTGTTTTATTGCCATGGGAAAAATTAAAATGGCGTTATTACCGTTTTCATATATATGAATATGGATGTGTGAGTTCCCTTTAAAAGGAATATTTTGATTTCAAAATATAGGTCATCATTTTTTGAAGACGCAGATGACCTGTATGCCAGTAGAAAGTCTTTCCACTGCAAATACTTGTGTGCATTTCTTACTTGTTCTGTACATTATTTAATCATTTAATTATTATGAGCATGTCTAATAATATAAAGAAATAATTTGGAAGTTTGAAAAGAATTGACATTGGGTTGGGACTGAAACAAATGAATGATAAAATAAGCCTCTGGTACTCGTTCTTTTCTCTGTAACCTCCCAGTGTGCTCTGCAATACATGCCTTTATCCTATTTTCTCTCAATTTGGCTGTCATGTTACTGTGTCATTTTCTTTTTTCTAACCTCATCTCAGTCTTTGTATCAGCCTCTATTCTCTACAACTTCCTCTTATTTCTGTTCTTTGTCTTCTCTGCAGGCCAACTTGCTGTCCTCCCATCGCAGCCTGGTTTACAGAGTAGAAACAATTGCCCTCGGAGACCAGCCATGTGACCGTGGAGAATACGTGACACTCTTCCTCTTCAATGACTGCCTTGAGGTAAGGGGGGAAAAAACACACATCCATCCGCTTTCCAACATAAGACCGTAGCAGTAGTAGAAATACCACCTTATTACTTGTAAGCTTGTGAAGCTATCGACTTGGTAACGTAGTATCGGTTCTCATGACATGCTTAATCCTTCTACAATAAATCTCTTTTGTGAACGAGATGAACAATACTGAGGGAGAACAACGAGGTAACAAACAGCCTATTTTACTACAGCGACAGCACCGCAGCTAACGAAATGCAGTCCACTAACACCATAACACGACCAGTTCCCATCACAACACAGGCTCACCTATAGTGATGCAAGGCATTCAGCTGTTGTTAGCACAGATCCACCGCTGTTTGCTTTATAATAGGGCTGCATCTAACAATGATTTTTTTATTATAGATTATTTCTTCGATGAATTGTTTAAGAAGTACTTTTGCGCGGCGGCGGCGCCCCCCATCCCGGTAATGGGATCAGCTGTGTACGTTGATAGATGATATTTATTAGTCCTTTTCGGAAGTCTGTGTGTCGCACAGAAAATATCCACAGACCAATCCAACGAAGGTTAAAATGAAGGGCAACTGGACTTGGTTGAAGATACTGGAAGACGTTTCGTCCCTCATCCAAAGGACTTCTTCAGTTCTGACTGACAGGGAAACTCAGCTATTTAACCTCAGTGGGGTCGTTGGCCTGGGTCATCGATACCGCTGGTTCGTTAGTGTTCCTTGTTGCTGTGACGACAGTCGTTACAGTCGTTGGGACTACCTGTGGCCAAGACTGAATGACCATCGTTGGTATCTTCACCTGAGGCCAATAGGTTACGTTTGTTGAGTTTCCTGGGAAGTGATGAAAGGACAGCATTGTAAGTGGGGGATAAGTGGTGGCGTAGACCCCCTCCCCTGTTCAATGGCGGCTTCTCGACCCGGGTGCAGATGGCTTCCTTGACACCTCTTTCAAACCATCCATCTTCTCTGTCTAAAATGTGCACCTGGTGGTCCTCAAACGAGTGTCCTCTGTCCTTCAGATGTAAGTAGACTGCAGAGTCTTGACCTGAGGAGTTGGCCCTTCTGTGTTGAGCCATGCGTTTGTGTCGTGGTTGTTTAGTCTCCCCAATATACAGGTCTGTGCATTCCTCACTGCATTGGACCGCATACACTAGATTGCTTTTCTTGTGTTTGGGTGTGCGGTCTTTGGGGTGTACCAGCATCTGTCTTAGTGTGTTCTTGGGTTTAATAAACACAGGGATGTTGTGTTTGTTGAAAATCCTCCTGAGTTTCTCTGATACTCCAGACACATATGGAATCACAATGTTGTTGCGTTTGACCTTCTTTTCCTCCTCCCCTGTAGTTTTGTTCTTCTTGGATCTTGTGGCTGTCTTCACAAAGGTCCATTTAGGGTATCCACAGGCTGCAAGTGCCCCCTTCAGGTGGTTCTGTTCCTTCTCTCTGGCTTGGGCGCTTGTTGGTATGTTTTCCTCTCTGTGGTGCAGTGTTCTCATGACCCCTAGCTTGTGCTCCAGTGGGTGGTGGGAATCGAAGAGTAGGTATTGGTCTGTGTGTGTGGGTTTTCTGTAAACAGATGCAGATTGGTGTTTACAGAAAACCCACACACGGAAAGAAGAAGTCCTTTGGATGAGGGACGAAACGTCTTCCAGTATCTTCAACCAAGTCCAGTTGCCCTTGATTTTAACCTTCGTTGGATAACGATGACCTGGATGACTGAGAATCTTCATAGACATCCACAGACCAACAACATCAACAGACCAACAACCAGACTACTGCTTTACCAACACAAACATCACCCGAGTGCTAAACAAGTTACAGTAAGGCGCAGATACCCAACACCCAGGTGACTCATGACTGACATTACAATCCAAACTCACGGCCCAACCAGGAGAACAACAAACGCACGTCTGTACATTTAAGGCTGAGGGTCGTTTCAGCCCTACTTTATAATGTTCAGTTGAGATTTATTGTCGTTTTACCAATACTCAGGTACACGAAGTCTTCACCATCTCACTCGCTGTAATTTGCGTGACACACATAATTTACAATAATGCCACAGAATGGCAGTTACAAGTTACTTAAAGGCGGACTAACTGAGGATTGTGCCAATATGCTGGTGCTCGCTGCTAGGGCCGAACGATTAATTGCATTAGCAATAATATCGCGATATGATAAAACGCAATCTTTTAATCGCAAGCGCTGTGATTACACTCTGGTCACATGGCACGAGAGAGTAAAGCAGTCTGCAGAGGAAGCATCAACTTGGGACTCTACACCGTACCTTGACTTGTTGTACGACGGCCTCTGGCTTGACAGAAGCTGACACTGTGGAAACGCTGGCGTCAAACAGGGAATGAAATTAGCATCTGAGGTGGCAGGTGAAACCGTCGGGCCATCCGCCACTTTGGCAGACAAGGAAAATGCACAACAGAAAGACACATTGTAGTAGTGTATTGTGGCGATTGGCGCATGCCCCTGCGTCACACACACACAGCCACCAGTCCAAAAGAGGCCCAGTCTGTCCTGAGTTACAGCCAGTGAGCTGCTTACCAGCTGCATCAACCTGTTACTGGGTTGGAGGGGGAACTCCGGTGTTGTCTGAGAATTACTTACAGAGGTGTCACTTGGTTTTATTTTCGTTGGCCAACTTTTGTATTGAACCTCAATCTTGAGTATTTATTTTTATTCATACATGTCATGCCCTTTGCTCTCCTTTTATGCTATTTGGTATTTCTTTACAACATATTCTCTCTGAAAGTTTCTGAAAGCATTTGCATATAACACTTCAAACAACAAAGTTATCACAGCATGTCCGAATTGGGCCCAGTGTTAATTTGATCAGTCTTACTTGTCTGTCTGCTTCAGCATTATTTTCTAAACCGATTCAGTGAGTGCTCTCCCAGTGTGCAGTCTCAGTCAACAGCAGTATTTGCCGAGGGATGCTAGATCATTTCCAGACTGTCACATTCACTGTTTCTAAATATTCTGAAGACGGGCCAAAATTGTGTTAGTCTTCTTTTGAATATTAAAATTGTTGAAAGATTGTGTGTTTTTGATTTAACAACATTAAACATTTTTGCAGGGTAGCAAGATTGAAAGGGGGATTAATTTGTGTGTGTGCAGTCTATCATTGCTGACACTGTGTGTGTGAGTGAGCAAAGGCAGTCATGAAAGACATGATGTGGGTGGCCGCACTGATTCATTCACCTGCTAATGAGCCTGTGTTGAACAGCCACACACATGGGTTTAGACAGGTTCGTATGTTTGAGTGAATGTTGTGTTAGAGTGGATAACCCCACTACTTTCCTCCATCGCTAATCATTGATTAACTCTTGTATTCATAAAATCACTCTCACCCTCTTTGCTCACACTGCCAACAACTATGCACACTATGATGTAGTGTGCCATTTTATCCCCTCCCCCTTCTGTCTTTTGTCTTTCTCAGCATCTAATTAATGTGGCATTAATGAGATGCATCGTTTATATCCATGAAGGCCTCATTGATTTATTGCCAAGTAACAGATAGCAGCTTCACCCACACACTGGAAAACACACCCACTCTCGATTCTAAATTGCAAGGACACACACGTATAGGGTGTTACTTGGAAGATGCCTGTCTTCACATTAACCTCCAAAGTTCTGTCTCATTTTGCGCACGTGTTTTGTTGTGTGTCTCTGCAGATTGCAAGGAAGCGTCACAAGGCGATCAATACATTTAAGAGTCCGCTGGGACAGACGAGACCACCTCCCCCGCTCAAACACATTGCACTGATGCCGCTGTCCCAGATTCGAAGAGTCCTGGACCTGCAGGACACAGAGGGTAAGACGGCGGGACAACATTTGAGGGTGTTTTATGTTCCCCCCTCAACCTGCATTGTAATACCTAAAGTGGTTAAACACCCTTTTAGAGAGTTGCTATAATACAACTGTAAGATCTCTGCTCCATTTATCTGAAGCTTAGATGAGGCCTGATCATGTTGCATAGCTTTCGTACTAGAAACACTAAGATTGAAAGATACGCGTCAGATAGCTGTACTATTCTTTTTCTAGGCAGAAGACTGAACATTAGAGAGACAGTATGTAATTTGAGACGGTTATATAAAAGCTGCATGCAGCGTTGAACAGGCCCTCACTACCACGCGTGCCTCGGGTGAAGCAACAGCAGCACAGGTGAGTCTGTTAGTGCGCTTACTTATTTTAGAACATCAAAATTTGCGCAACACCATTTGACGAATCCTCAAAAGTTTTGCAATTTGGCATCGCAGAGGTCTTTAGATTGTACTGCCCATATTTGAAATCGATTAATTTTGTAGGAGTCCAAAATCAAAATTTCTATTCAAAATGGCTGGCTTTTGGTATAAGGTATGGTTCCTAGAGTTTCTGAAAAAATTTATAGATGTAACATCTCCCTCCCAAAGTTCGTACATCTAGGTCAGTGGTTCCCAACCTGTGGTCCGCGACCCCCTGAGGAGGGCGCCGGAGATTACAGGGGGTACCCATGCTTTATCTGTTTTGAGGTTGCCAAAAAAAACTTTGATTTGCACATTTAAAAAAAATTGTGGTAACACAATAGATAATTTATACAAAAGTCTGTATACATTTTTTTCCTCACTTAAAATAGTAGGCAGACTACTTAGTAGTAGGGCTGTAATGGTTTTGAAACAGAGACCAAAATGGCGACACAAAAGTCCATGATCTCATGTCGTGGATCAGAGAGACAGAACCGCGATACACCCGGTCATTGGACTGCTGAGCTCTCATTAAGACAGTGCAACTGTGCAGCCGGTGGGGGGTGGGCTCGGTAGCGGTGTATATTTGTATTAACAGTAGGTTTTTGTATGCCATTTTCCTCCTTATAGTTTAGTGTTTATTTACTTGAATCTGCTCCTCTGCTCTTCTCCCTGCTCTCACGGCAAACACGCCGGCTTGCTCCGCCTCTTTCTGTCTCTCTCTCCCTTTCTCCATCAGCAGTACCTTATCATAAAGTCGGCCTGTTTAATAAATTCACCTGTGATTCAGTTTTTAAGTGCGACGCATGTGTAAACTGAAACTTAACGTTAGTGAGTGACATCTGCAGTGGCGCATTCACTGTCGCTCCGTAATGGAACATTTCCAATGTCCGTTAATGTAATACCAGATGACCTCTCCCTCGTTTCTCTGCAAAATGCTAAAGTGGTTTGCCAAATATACTTTGGCAGGTGCAACTATACCTGTCCAGTACTGTGTTCCTTGGATGATGCCAATTCAATTGATTTTAGGCCACAGCTATTAGCATATTTTTCTGCTTTTGGCATATTTAATTCAACTGCCAAATAAAATCGAAACATACAAGTTGATTTCACTTACCATGTAATTTGTTACTAAACTTTGAAGGCGTGGATGGATGTACTTAATTTGCCATTTGCCAAAATTATATTGCGACCAAATTTGGGAATGTTGCACATACTACCCTCGAAGCAGTAGGAAAGAAACAAAACCTGTAGTTTCATGTATAAACACCTTATCCGGAGAGAAATATCTTTACACAGGGAACAGTAATGATTCTTTATGGAGTTTGGAGAAAGCACTGAAAATAGATTTTCCTTAAGTGTTTTTTCTTCTTCTTATTACTGCTCTAATCTTTCCATCAGTTTCCTTCCTCTTCTCCCCATCCAACACATCTTTAATCATCCTTTTCTAGCTCATTCTCTTCATCTCAGTGCCTTCACTGGCTGGTTTCCCTCCTCCCTTCTTTTTGTCACTATTCATTATTTTCACTCTGTCACTGACTGTCCGTTTCTTTGCTGCCTCCCATCAGATTGTGTGAATGCGTTTGCCCTGGTGGTCCGCCCCCCAACTGAACAGGAGAACTTGCTGTTTAGCTTTCAACTGGCTGGAGAGGAAACTGTTAAAAGCACCTGGCTGCGAACACTTTGCAGACAAGTCGCCAACACCATCTGCAAGGCTGATGCGGTGAGTAGCGCCACACACACAAAAGAAAGTAGGCAGTTTGACAGATGGACAGGCGAAGGAAGCTGTGTAATGGGCTCATTTTTGGTGTGGGCAAGGTGTTGTGAGGATAATTGAGTGGTCTGGTATTTTGGTGACTCGCTGTGTACCCAACATGGTTGGCTTCCGGCCCAATTTTGTTCCAGCGGTTAGATTTGACTGTTTTACATGAAAAACAGCCCGACCAATTAGGGAATTTTAAAACAGATACCGATTTCGATGTTTGGGGATTGTAAAATCCGATAAGCCGAAATTCTTTTTCCCCCTTCTTTTTAGAAACGCATAACATAAACAAAGATTATCCCTGACATTTGTTGTTATGAGACCTCACAAAAGTAGAACAAATATATTTATTTTTAGTTTCTATAAATAAGAATCAAATGTTTAAAATTACAAAAAAGATCCATTATAAACTATAGAGTACTACTACTAAAGAACTTTAATGAAAACAGTGTATGTAGCCTATTGTGTAGGCCTGCCTAACAGAATGTGAAAGTAAAAAATACTAATATACTACTACTACTAATAATAATAATATCATATTACTCAATGATTATATTACATTCTAATGTTAAACAGGGCTCTCCTACATAGGCAATATATTTTTTGTCATGCAGTAGTTATTACCTTATACATTATCTTCCACAATGACTATTTTCTACATATATTCACATCTAGTTTTTCCCTTTACCAGTACACTCATTATATCTTTAGCTACGAGAGTTCTCTTTCAAACATTCGCTTGGTATCTCACCATGGGGTACGCCCCTCTGCGTAGTTCTCAGAAGCCCAATACCAATACGCCAGCCTCACTGGCTGGCAGTCGTGACGACTGCATCAGGAGGAGGGACATCCTCTCCCTATAAAAGGGATGATGCAGCGTCATAAGCTCATTCAAAAACCCCTTCTCGCTTTTCACTGGGAAAGCTACATCTCTCAACACGACTGCTAACAGGAACATTGGCTTAACTGTCCACAGATTGAGCTAACCACTCGATTGCCGGGCACTAATTATTCTGTCTGTACGGAATCCAGATTTCTTTTACGCTGCTGTTGCTGCCTCCATACAGCTAACCGTAGCTACTTTGTTAGCCTGTTGCCAAACAGTAACACCAAGCACCTTAGCCCAGCTAGCCGCCTCACTAGTAAAGTAAAGTCTGCTGTCACATTAGTTGGTAACCAGCAAGCCTCCACACTAGCAGCCAGGTTGCTAATTTCTGCTTCGACTATAAGTCGCTTACCATGGAGCTCTTGAAGCTTAACATACTAGCGGATAGCACACCAGCTACACCGCTGCTTGCCCCCGCGCCAGCTATAAAACCCCCACCGCGGGACTAAGATATCGGCTATGGATACTCACCTAGTATATGTGGCCTGTCTTGACACACCAGAGCGGCGCTGGACATACCCGGCTCATGCGAACTTTGTAGCCGTTTCACTCTCAAGAGCCTCCGCCGTCGGCTGTCAGGCCAGGCAAGCCTCGGCACCGGGGACCCACGGCTAGCATCAGCAGCCGCCCTGACGGACTGTGACGAGCCTGCCATGTTGAGCACGAGCTTGGGCGACACTCCCTTGCCCGTGATGGTGCGGCCTTTTAAGATCCCGAGACGCCCGCCCCCCCAGTGCAAACTCAGCCTGGCCCACCACCGAGGGGGGCCTTGGCCGAAGAAATCCTTTGCTGTTGCGGTGGCCCAGGGGGGCCCTCCAGCCCCAACCTCCTCCCAAGGAGTAAGAAGGAAGGAGCGATCCTAGTCACTCGCCAATGCTAGGCTCCCCTTCAGCTCCGTTCCTGTGCCTGTTCCACGGTGTTTCCTCCGTGCGGTGTGCAGGGCCAGAGTTGGCACCTACAGTTCACCGCCCTACAAAGAGGAAGATAGACTGTTCATCAGCAGTAGCTGTTCAAATGCTCTCTGTATGTCTCACAAGCACACTCATGTGTCCCAAATCAACAAAGTTGCCCCCTGTGCACCTCTCTCTACAAAGGGAGAGATGTGTGGGGCCTTTGCATAGCCAGGACTTGCCTTCGGCTGCTGGGTCTGATGGCATCAGCGATAGTGGCCATCCCCCTGGGACGCTTGTTCATGCGGACGTTTCAACGTTGGGTGTCGTACCTCGGCCTGGACCTCTGGCACCACGGGCACCGTCGTGTGAGGGTCTCTGTAGACTGTGTATTGGCACTTTGTCCGTGGAAACGCCCCAGATTTCTGACACAGGGTTCCAATGGGACCCGTCATGGCCAGGAAGGTGGTCACGACGGATGCATCGCTGCAGGGGTGGGGTGCCACCCACGAGGGCAGGATTGTGAATAGAGTGTGGGCTCCCCGCCTTCGTTTCACCCACACAAACTCCCTTGAGCTCCTGGCTCAGACATTTTCTTCCCTTTTCGCCATGTTCTTCTCCCTGAGGGATCGGGATGCACCAATGGGGATGGATGCGCTGGCACACAAGTGGCCGCGGGTTCTTCTCTATGCATTTCCACCTCTGGCCCTGATCCCGCCCACATTGGCCAGAGTGCAGGAGCAGGGATTGTCACTCATCCTGAAACCCCCTCACTGGCCGGGGAAACATTGGTTGGGCTACATCACCCAGCTTGTGTACAGCCAACCCTGGCCTCTCCCTTTACGCAGGGACCTGCTTTCACAGGCACGGGGGGAGATATTTCACCTTCACCCAGAGTGGTTAGTGATTGGTCTTGATTGGCAGTCTGTTTTCAAGATAAGCTTGTCTGGCAATACGGGAGTCAGGATATCCCCATAGTGAGATACCGAGCGACTGTTTGAAAGAGAACTTTAGGTTACAGAGGTAACCGCGATTCTCTGATAACATGAGTGACGTCACTTATAACTGCCAGCCAGTGGGGCTGGCGTATTGGTATTGGGCTTTTGAGGACTACACAGAGGGGGTACCCCATAGTGAGATACCTCATTCATGTTATCAGAGAACAGGGGTTACCTCTGTAACCTAAAGTTTTTCAACCACCATCTATGATACAGTGACTCAGGAAATGCTGCTCTTGAATGCATTTAATAGTACATGACTGTCTACAATGAGGACCTGCAACTTTGAGATTTCACACGAACGTTTCACATTCAAAAGATGATATAGATAAATTTGTTGGACAGGAAGCCGTGTTGGATACTTGTTCAGCTCACGTTTATTTACATGTCCCCTCTGGTTTAATCATTTCTGATCCACTGACTGTAACTACAGACAAGTGGCTCGTAGATATATTTAGAATTTGTTAAATACTATATTTTAACTGCTTATTACCGTTGGCACCCTTCCATACATTTACATTTATTCATTTAGCTGACACTTTTATCCAAAGCGACTTACAATTGCTATATATGTCAGAGGTCGCACGCCTTTGGAGCAAGTAGGGATTAAGTGTCTTGCTCAGGGACACATTGGTGTCTCACAGTGGATTTCAACCCGGGTCTCAAACCAAATAATCACCACTCCTTCCACTGATAAACATAGCATTAGCTCTGTTGCTAATCTAATTTGTCTGCAATGTGCAGCATTAGCTGCTGTAAGTGATGTTAGAAAATATTTAGAAGTGATGAACTAGGAAGAAATGATAGGACAGTTGGCAGGAACAGCCACATTGTTTTAGAAATAAAACTACAATCGAGTTTTTCAGCAGCGCAGCCTTCACCACTCAACTGCTGTAACATTAAACATACTGCTGTGAGCCGGGAGGAAGCTGGGAGACTATTGACAAAAAAGAATTAGCTTTTCAGACAGATTTACCCCGCAAAAACCGAAGAGATTTGCAATAATCTGGAGGTAATAATAGGATTAATAAGAATAATTTTCTTTGTAAGTATTTGCAGTATGTAAGGTGTAAACTCTAAATTGTTTGCTACAAAGGCCGAAAAATAAAGTTTTTCAGAAAACCTTCTTGTAGAGGGCGCCGTAGGTCTTAAGGGGTTAAAAATAATAGAAAATGGCTCAACAGTCGTGCAGATGAGTAATTTAGGACTCATTGTCATGCCAAATCAAAAGGTTTATTGTGGTGGTGGTGTTGTTGTTGTTGTTTTTTTTATTATTTGTTATGTTTAAACTGTTTTATAGAGGTGTTGATTCAACTGTATGATTGTTTTGAGGATGTACTACTGTCCGGACTTGTTTACACTGCTAACATAACTAGGCTTCGGCAGAGGAGAGTAACAGAATATGGCCTGTGAAAGAGTGTTGGGGAGGCTGGCAATTTTCCCCAAAACATGGTAACAGCTAGTGTTGGGCCGATAGATGATGCCAGCGTCCATCAGCAATGGCTGACAGACATCACTGTGAACCGGCATCACGATTGTGTGTGGCAGCATCACCTTGAGGTCAATGAGTGTCGTTCTATCTGCTTGAGTTGTGGGTGAAATTTGCAACACACCTGCTAATGGAACTTTTGGTCTTACAGTTTCTGCTGAACAAACACTTGGAGAAAAATAAGAAATAATAATAAGAACAAAAACAGTAGGGCTACAGCTACAAGCTTCTTTTTACTGCTATTGGCGGCCGGTTAAGCTTTGTTTATTGATCCAGCCCACAGTGCTGCAGTGTGAATACCAAAGAAATAGAGTCCTACTTGCCCACAGCAGGGTGAGGGGGAGAGAGAAATAAAGACTGTGTCCCTCTTACTACAATTTTGACATCAAAGGGTTATGTATGTCTTCATTGATCACAGTGAGTTTAGGTCAAGGCTGATATTAAGTTTGAGGCTGTAATGTGTGTTGTCTTATAACCAGGAGGACCTGATTCAGTGTACAGACCCCGACTCACTACAGGTCAGTACCAAGGATATGGACAGCACCCTGAGCAAAGCGTCCAGGGCCATCAAGAAGACTTCTAAAAAGGTAAATGCAGAAGAATGTTTCTCATGATTAAGCTTCCTAACTAGACCAGGGGGTGGTTCATTATAACATACACGTTGAGCAGCCAAGCAATGTTCAGACTAGGGCTGCCCCCTAAACATTGATGATTAGAATCATCAGTTAAGAAGCCCCAGAGTCAACTCACATTTTGCAGACTACTGTTGTCCAGTGAGACTGACTCTTCAGCTAACAGAGCTGTCAGCAGCCATCCAGGAGAGACGCACTGTTTATAGCACGAATACAGTCAGACTTTTTAAAGTTTTAGTCCAGATCAGGGCTCTACGCTAACCTTTTTCCCAAGAAGCACATATATAAAAAAAAAAAGTAGGAGCAGAGCGAGTAACACAGAGTTTAACAAACTATTTACGATATACGTATTTATTCTACGTGTGTGCTCCTTCTCCTTGTGTTCAACTATGGTGTGAAACCATTGGAGGTCTGGAAATGAAGGCCGTTGTATCTGGACACTGCATTGGCCTTAATATTTTGTCAAAGCTTTTTAAAATATTGAAACATAGGTTTTGAAAATTTGACACATTGAAAACAGCTTTTAAAACACTCATCACGAAAAACTTTACTGTGATTGGTGCAGTAATTGGTACACAACATGGAGGAGAATCTAGTTTAAATGTGTATTAGTGTAATATTACCAGTAGGCCTGTAATAATCAATTTGGACAAAACGGCAATTTCATGCGAGTTGTTTTAAGAAAATTGGCCTGCATTGGTCTCTAATTGGTTAAAGCTACTATCTCTTCAATAATCATACCCATTCATGTAGGAGGAGTTCAACATTTGAAAGTTAACAGTCGCACGTCAAAACATTTTAATGTCCCGCCTAGGGCCACATTGATTTTATGAAAAGCTTAACGTGTTTCTACAAAGGGCTCCTGATATGGCTAAATAGCCAGCTAGCTAAACCCACAGCCTCCTTATCTTCTCCCTGCTGTCTTCTGTCTCACTGTTCTTGCTGCTCACACCGCAAATCTGACTTTTTCTTTTGTAAAGAGATTCTCAGGCGCCCACCGAGCGACCTGTCCACCAGGACCTCTGCCAGTACTCCGGTGGCTAAGCTGGCTTTTTGTTTTGAATGATTAGCGGCAGGGTGGGGGGGTTATGGTAGGTTGTATGTGCTCGGAAATCATTTTTCCAGTTTGCACTCATTGACTATTAGGGGCATATGCGAGCAAAATGGTCACACTGTAGAGCCCTGGTGCATATTAATATGCTAAATATTTTATACTGAATTGCACAGAAAAAGGAATCCAAGTACACACTGTATATCTAGTGCGTACTTCCCACTTTGATGTAATTGAACAGTCATAAAACGATGTGCTGGCATTTAAATCTGCCTTAGATCAATTTCAGCTGCTTTTTTCTTATCGGAGAGGGCTGAAGAATTTAAATATATATAACAGGAAAGAAACGATACTACCTGAAAGAATCTTTCAAACATGCAGATAGAAATGTGATATTGCCAAACAGTGCGTGAGAAAATGGTTAATCTTTAAGCCAGACATTTGAGGTAAAAACTGAGAGCAGTGAAAGTTGAGAAGTTTAAGAAAGAGAAATTGATTGAACACAGACAAGACTTGGGTGACATGGGTATCTTTTTGAATGGTTTTTTATTGTAATTATTATTAAATTGGCCACATTACCCTTTTAAATTAAATATTATAATTTAACAAACTATTCTTTGTTAATGACATTTGTTGTTTGTTCAAACCATCTAATGCCTGCTACAGATGGCTCTGTAGTGCTGTAAGTGCTATGTTCTGTTACTGGGTTTGTGTTTGGAACAAGTAAAAAACAGGTGTATTAGTGGCGTGCAAAGTGCAGATACTCCAAGTGAAGTGGCTGAAAACCCAAGATGTTCCCTGCAAAAAAAAAAAAAACGTGACAAAGACCTGCTTATGAAACAGAAATGTATTAATTACTAACTGTGTGTGTGTGTGTGTGTGCGCTAGGTGACAAGGGCCTTTTCTTTCACCAAGACCCCGAAGCGTGTGATCCAGAGGGCGTTCATGGCCAACAGTACTCCGGATGAGAAAAGCCAGGGGCTGAGTTGTGAAAACCGCATTAGCAGCAGCGCCACACTGGCTGTAAGTCTTGCTTTATTTATTTGCCTGTCTGGGCTGTACTGATGCTATAGCCACACTAAGTTAAAGTGTGTCTTATTACTTTAAATTATCAATCTGTCTTGGTCAGGACCCTACTAATTCCTATTTCACACATTTAGGTGCTTTTGTAAGAGCATGTCAGTGTTGTTGAATGTAAATGTGTTTGTATATTTTAAAGAATACATTACCCTATTTCTAGTAGGTTAATTCATATGTTACCATTTTAATTGTACCTACTTCTCCACTGTATTTTAGTGTTCACTCTTACTGCACACACAACGGCTTGCCCCGCCAATTTCTGTTTCTCTCTCCCTGTATGTGTCTACTCTGTTGACTTTCTTTGTCAATCTTGTGTTTTATGAGGGGGAAAAAAAACCCTAGTGGATATTTTTTAGGTACGTGATAAGAATATTGATGATGATGGTGATCAGCACCAACCAGGTGTGTGGAACAGATGCAAAAAAACTGACTTAAACTCTGTGTACACTGAAGGGCAGAAATGTGGATGTGCATTCTTTTCATTAAAATTATTGTAGCTTTATATGCAGCCTACACATGGTTCTGTTTTATAAATCTCAATTATTGTAGAAGAATACAGACATGCAAAAGACTCTAAAGCTACAAGCTTTCTTTTAAACCTGTTCAACAGTGGAGGCTAGCTCATTGTGTATCTAAAAGAACAGTATTGGACTTGTCCAGGTGTGCGATTTCAAAGCTCCCAATGTAAATGTCTCTCCTAATCTGCCTGAATTTTGTTTCAGCATTCTCGCACTCTGGTCTTGTTTTTCTTTGAGTTGTAAATCCCTGCTCCATATGTGTCTCCCCTCTGTTATGTACTCTAGATGTCTCGCTCTGCCTCCACGTTCAGTTTGAGTGATTCTCCCAAGAGCAGTGCCGTGGTGCAGCGCTCAAACTCTCTGGACCATCCTCCTGTCAGAACCAGGGTCCCTGTCTGTATACGTATCCCCTGCAGCCCACCCCAAAACTCTGCCCATAGCCCCAGCCCAAACACTGTCCCCGAGCTTAGCCAAACCCTCTGCCCCAACGATTGCCCAGGCACCCCAGAAAGCAAGTCCACCCTTCATGCTCCTTTATCAACCCAACCGGCACAACCTCATTCAGCCCTCTACACTCGCCAACAGTCCACCTCTTCGACCTGTCCCACCTCCGCTTCCATTCCAGCTGTCCGAAACTCCGCTCAGTTCAACTCCAAAAACTACCAGCCGAAATCTAGCGAGCACGTGTCCAGACACCTGCCCTCTGTGTTGTTCCAGCCAAGTTCCTCAGCTCCTCAGCCTGTTAATGTCAAAGGCAGGACCTTTTCTGAGTTATGCAGGGATCCCCTTGTCCACTTGGACCCACGCAAGTCTGTGCTGACCAGTCCTCGCAGGGAGACTCTGCTCTAAACCATCACTAAGCTCAGTCCTGGAGTCAGACGTGAGCAAACATTATTGTGGTCTCTACTATTTTTAATGTAAAATTAATCCTTACTACCTGCTGCCCTTTTAACACTGCTGGTGCGTTTCTAGTCCCAAATCAACTCCTTAGAAGCTGAGACCCTAACACCGTGATACATCATAATAATAACCTGCTATACAGCTGAACCCCGAACTGCAATGATTAGATAAGGTTTTAGAAACACATGCGTAGTGTGGGTCTAATGCTTCTCAAGGCAAAGGGCAGAGATTTTAAGGGTTGATTTGGAATAGCTCTGTTCCTACAAATCACCTGGGTAACTGGTGGTGATGGTGATGGTGGTAGTTGTGAATATTCACTAGGTGACTGTTATTAATAGTGGGCTGTATACAAAAGGTGTAATGGAGATGGGTACAACTGGGATATAAGAGTTTGTCCGGGGGGGGGGGGGGGGTTGTCTGCTTTCCCGCAGGAGAAAAACTCATATGGAAGTCAGGCGTTATCCACATTAATGTTGGGCAGATCTATGAAGATAATGTTAAAATGGTTTGTTCTGATTATTCAAGTGTTAACAACTTAGCTAACTAACGTAAGTGTGAATTGATGAATATATCAAGTGAATGGACTGTTTGTGTAGCGCCTTTCTATTCTGACGACCAATCATAGCACTTTACACTACGTGTCACATTCACCCCACTCTACCTCCTAAGCTACAACTAAAGGCTCGCCTTTAATTTAGGATTCTTTGTTCTGTTGTGTCTTTTGGCTACGTTACACAAAAACCACTCACAGGTCCTGGATGTGACACATACCATTTCCCCCACATTTTTGGGACCAGGAATTAGCTCAAATAGACACCATCTATCTGTCTGTGCTTGAAATTTTGTTTGTTGTACAGATGGGCTCCTGAATCTTCCTGCTCCAAGGTGGGAAGCTTGGTAACTGTATCCATTTATTTGGTGTGCTAAAGGAAGGACAAGGGTTAGTTAGTCTACAAGTAGTGAGGTGGATGCAGGCTCCTAGTAATTATAATTGTCCTTGCCGCTGGCGCTGCCAAGCAAAAGTAGGCTACTTCTTAAACGACGCATTGATGAATTGTTGAAATAATCTGTAGAAGCTTTGGCGTTAGCTGCAGCCCTAATCCCTATCAATGAGCAAGAGGTTTTGTCTTGTAATGATGAATATCAATAATGTCATCACTTGAGTCGCAATTAAAGTTCTTTAATTTATCATGTGACAGAAGTAAAGTTGGAGTTGAACTTCCATAAACCTCCTATAATCCTGATATAACAAGGATTTTATTTAACAATCGACATGTTGGAAATTAATTTGGCATCAATAAATTAATAACCAATGCAAGAAAGAGACTGATGCATAGGTCTGGGTATCGTATATTCAATACCGGTTCCTGAACGATACTATTTTATGAAATCTGATTTAACAAGATTACATTACACATTACCTCAATTTAAAACCTTATTTTTCCAGTTTCTTGACTTTTTTACAGGCTCAAAGACTCATCACCTGAGCCACTGCAGCTCAGATTGATACTTGATGGTGTCCTCATGCTAGGGTCGGCAGGAGCAGAGGCTAGAACCTTAATCTTAAGAGGAAAAACAACCAAAGCTAAACTTTTCCAACCTTTTAGTATAAGCATGCTTTATCAAGAGAACTAATTTAATGCGAGTTAAACTTCATTTTAACCATCTATCGATAGCCATACTTCCAAACAATATCTAACGTTATGTAGGTCAGACTGTCACCGCGCACAGAAGTGTTAACGAGTACACAAGCATGTACCACTACAAGTTAGCTGATTTTCTTTGCTAAGCATTAACCTAACCTGTCGGAGTCCCAGGACTCATGTGGTGGGCATGTGGAAGGAGGCTCTGTGGCAGCACTGGCTCAGTCTTGCACTCAGACTTACGTTGATTCCGTGCAGTGTCAAGTGCTCCATCGTTATTTGTCGTGTTGGAAATCTAGCCACACTTCTGATCTTTTCCACATCTTTTACATTTATGGGTATTGTAACGCACACACAACTGCCTCAAGTGTGAGCTACATCTGTTTCACTGCACAAATGAACCGGTCTACTCCTCGGTATGAGCCTGGCATCGGTTGTCTTTGGGCGCAGGATGTCTTCACAGTGTAATTGGGTGGTGATCATTGGTGCAGTGGAAAGCGGGGTTTACGTCTCACCTCTGGTACCACCTTGTCATTTAAAGGCTCAGTGTGTAATATCTGAGGATTTATTGAAAGAAATGCAGTATAAGATCCATAACTATGTTTTCAGTGGTGTATAAAGACCTTACGTAATGAACCGTTGTTTTCATTACCTTAGAATGAGACACTTCTATCTACATAACTGGGGTCCCCCTTACATGGAGGTCTCTATGTTGCACCGCCATGTTTTTTACAGTAGCTGAAACGGCGCTACAGAGCGCATTTTGTCACCACGTCGTTATTCAGTTATTCCGGCAGTGTAGACGCCTGTCACTACGTTCAATGCGTACGAAGAAGAGGAAGTAATAATACATTCTCTGCGGAGTCATCTGGTTTATTAGAAGTTAGTAGAGAAGTGAAATTCAAACAAATGGAGGAGTACACAGGGCTTAAAGTTATCTGGCGCTGTGCCGGAATTCCGGCGTGGGGCGTTTTCATATTCAACAATATATAATTATGTCTGTGGAAAGTATTCTTGCGTATTTTTTTTAACAGTCGCGTGATATATTTGTGAAGCGCCAGTCCTCCGCACAATCTCTGTGGGTGGATGCACAAAAGAAGGGGACTGGCACTTCCTGACTACATGGACACTCATTGGTTATTGTAGGCCATGGACAGGGCATCGAATTTTCTATTGGGACAATTAAGGTGTCACTCAAAAGGTCAAGGTGTACTGGCTTTTTTTGTTTACATGCTAACTGTAATCAAACGATGTAACAGCAGTCTGTGTGTCTTTATTCATATAAAAATGCGGTTTGACCTATTATTATATAATATTTTACTGGATTGGATCGTCTGGACCTTTGCCAACATAACAAGGCCAGTTTTGTTGGAATGTAATCCATCGATAGACTACAGCGTCTCTGGTAAGTGGCATCAATTTTGATTATTAGTGGTGCTTAAAGTGCGTTACCAGTAAGTTACTTCTACATTTTACTCTTCGGCGTAGTGGGACTTTTCTTGGGTACCGTGTCCTCTCCATATCAGGTTCTCTGGGCACTATGTGACGCTCACCTGTTCCCGTTCTCGCGGCCTCCTAATCTCTCGGTAGAAAGAAGCTCGGGTGCCTTTCGTGCATGAATGATTATCGATGAGTAGCATTAACTAATTAGAAACTGACCACCATGTAGATAATTTTTGTTAACAAATTTAATGGAGGGGGAAAAACCCACACAAATGAAACTGCTGTCCAACTGGAACTAATATTATACTAATGGTGAGAGAGAGAGAATTTATATAGTTGGCTATCTGAAATGATAATGAATACACTAACATTAGCCCTAATGAACAAGGCAACATGTAAATGGGGAGTACCAGCAGGGCTGGGCAATAAAACAATAATTATCTCAATATAATTTCCTCAATAACCAAATAACAAATGTTTAATAAATGTTTAATATAAGTCATTTGAATCATAGACAAATCAGCACTTATTTTTCTATTTAGATGTTTATTTTGTTGAGGAAAAGGAAAAATTTACTCACGCATATTTGTCAAAAAGATTGTAAATTGTTTTGAATGTTCTGAGCTTAGATTTGTGAAGTGTCCAATGTTTGACATCAAGTGGTACAATTCAACTCAGGAGCAAATATCAGCCATTAAACTTGAAGAAATAATAATTTGACATTTATTGTGATAACTATCGATATCCAATAACATGAAATGTTTTATTGTGATAACATTTCTGGCCATATCGCCCAACCCTTTTCCAACTTGATTTTAGGTGGTGGCAGAAAACCTTTACCAGAATGCAGGAAATGAATTGTTTAATGCTCAGTTTTTTCAGGGGCAGGACCCCAAGATTTAATATTTCTTCAAAACGGTGTACAATTATTTTCTTGTCTTGTTCTTTTGAACCAGTATCGTAATTCCTCATGTCTCATGAGCTCAGTGTATCGTCACACCCCCAATCTGAGTCACTACGTCCCCTTCAGTTTTCAACACAGAGTTATGCTCTTGCCCCTTACCTTTCATTTCGTTGTAACCCCCACATGCATTTCAGGCACAGAAAATATTCTTGCTTTAAGTCCTGAGTACACGTATTATTTAGCACGAGCCGAAAGTGTGCGGATCTTCTTCGTCAAAGAAGCGAAAACGCAATAAAGCCAGACGAGGTTAGGACAGATGCAGACAGATGACGGCAGAAATCAAGGATATAACGTTAATTGTTGTGTATTTTCCCAGATGGAAGGCTCTGATGCGGGACAAATGTTTTCAAAGCAGCGCTGAAGTTGCCCTTTTTCTGCTGGACAGGTTAATTAAGTTAGTCCACCTTTAGCAACGCAAATAAAAACGGTTGTTTGATAGCTTTAGCTAGAAGATGGGGATGATCACTGAGAGAAGTGACGCTTTCCCTCGTCAGTGGTGTAAAATATACAGTTGGATTAACTTCATATCTGTTCTCCAGCGCTGTGTTTTGACTTTGTTACGTGGACAAAAATTTGTCAGTTACGTTTGCAAGACAAACAGCTGATGAATATTATTGGTGGGGATGCAACAATTGCAGATTTTGTTGGTACGATTATAGTCTGAGGAAAAAACATTTATTTCTGCTAATGACATTACGATAACTGTGTGCCTATCAAGCGACCAATAAGGCTTATACTTTCAGAATTTGCATTGAAAAAGTGTTTGTAGGCTATTGCTTCGCTACTGTAGCCACAAATGTGTAATTTGATAATTAACAGGGTAAATGACTTGCAGACTGTTTAGCTAATGAACATAGTGGAGAGGAGCCTTGATCCTCACCTGACAATGCCTTTGTAAACTGGTATGTTGGTGCAGATGAGCCAAACCTC